AACTATACATATAGGCCCCCATTGTCATGACAGAAGCAGGACCCATTCCTTAGAATCCTCACAATGCTATATCATATCACCTAATTCAAAGAAATGATCCCGAAATAGCCAATAATAACATACGATGCGGTTTAATCTGTAGGTGAAATACGAAGGTGACTTCCTCTCCTCCGTCATCTCGTCCTTCAATCGTATGTTCCGGGACTTTACATGTCATGCAAATTACACAATTTCCGCCATAATAACTAACTCTATATGGAGCTTAACAACATGTTGTAGACTGTTGAGAGCGAAGAAATGGAAGGTAACGTAGGAAGACATACAATAGTAAGGTAATTCCATATTTAATACAATAATAATAGTTATACGATACCACAATAGGATATGTAACGTATAGACCGTAAGTGATACTGTAACACTGAACTTGTCAAATATTCCCAAAATTCTTTATATATTTGTCGTTTAGTAAACTAATTTCGTGCCGTAAGCTAACGCTACAATACAGCAAAAACACAAAATACGTACCTATCTCCAAGGCAATACGATAATACCTTCGTATATACTCGTACACTGCCTCCGTTAACTTGTTTTGAACAAAAAGAAGATATGAATAACATACACACAATGGTAACCCCCTTAATTAGACTACTGTAGGATTAACAGAGTAAATCTTTTCCGCACTAACAAGCATCGTATCTTTTAAACAACAGTAAGTATCTTGTTTATATTGTTATATTTATATTGTTGCTAGTAGGTTTAAAAATGTTCACTATAATATTAATGCTCTATCAACAACTTCTAGGATTGAAAAGTACCATAAATACTATTACTGCCGACATTCCTACTACAATAACATCAAAAATACTGTAACCACCAACACATCTTGTAACTCCAAACACATAATTTCAAAAATTTTAACTCGGACCAAGCCAGAACTGTAATTAAAGCTACCAGAAGTGCACCATCTCATTAAACACGACCAAAATAAACTGGTCAATTAATTCGGCGAAGTGACAAAGAACTGTCACAGTCCCAAATTAACATGCGTGCTACATAATATAGAGATTAATGTGAACCTTAAAGTATGCCATATCCTGTCATAGTAATGTTTGCAATGATGCCACCTTCTGTTTTGCAATAAAGAATGTCATTAGTTTCGGAATGTATATAGTTGCACTTTAAAAAGCATTTTCAAGCAATTTTTGTGACGAAATCATTTGAAACTGGTTATTATACAATAGTAAAACATAATATTTACGTTTAATATGTAAAGCAGAAACAGCAAAAATTTTATAACTTACCAAAATCTTTTAAAGAATACGTAAAAACACAAAAACGCCTTTTAAAGTTATAAAATTTGAATTTAAAAATAAAAAAGTAAATTTTTAAACCAAGATTACTTTCGTATGTCTTTTCCCAGACACAGTAAAAAAACTTGCTACATATGCCAAATGAATTTAATATCAAAAAGTGCACTTTGACTGCCGATACTTTGCCAACTTAATATTCATGGAACCAGAAAGTAGAACACTATGGTCACGCTTTACATTGCAATTGCAATATAAAATATATTTTGAAGTAATATTACTAAAATGAAACTACACCCCCCCCCCACCTAATATGCCTATATATACTATACTTGCATAACTACATCAATATACCTATACATACTACACCTATATACCTATATCTGTCCAAACAAAAGAGATAAAGCCAATCAAAGATCCCCTCCCTACCATACCCATACCCACAATTAAGTATACTTTGGTCACAAGCTACAACAAAAGAATGCCATTTGTAGCAATATTTTGGCCAGTGAATCTTCCGTGTTTGCCAATTATTCAATTAAACTGCTAATTTTAACCTTTTAAGGCCTTTGTCCCTAACTAATTACAGCTTATATTTACATCGAATAGAGGTCTAATTAGATTGAGTCCACGAACTAAAAAAAGACAAGTGTTTGGGGTCTAACACCGCTTGACATATATACATAACATATATTCGTACGTGAAATATCAAGCTAGATATCAGACTGTAGCTTCATGTACAATACATTTTATAGAGCATTGATAGAAATACGACAATATAGAGCGTACAAAAGCTGATGTAGCTACATTCAGAAAGGACATATTGTATTTACAACAACATCATTACGCTATGCTTCATAAGAACCAAACAAAACTTGCTTACTAGTACACAAGACTAGTGTAATATGACGAGATAGAAAGTGCACCCAGCCACCTTTGGGCTCTGTAAACTAATTGCCCAGAAGTCCGTGCTCAATTTCCGCAAAAGTTACGCTCAAACAATAGAATCTACTTCAAAAAAGCATGTAAAACCGTGGTATGTCAGGCACGATATACGATGATAATTATTTTAGCACATCATAAAACTGTACCTACATCTAGCCACTGTGTAAATGACTACAAGTATAATACTTAATTCAAGTACTTAAAAGTTAAAGAATGTCACGTAGACATATCATAGATAATATATTACTATTGGTAATATACTATTATCATTACCATTCGTACAACATTACAAAACGCGCCATTTGCAAACTTATATCCCAAATACAAACCTTTAATCTCCAAAACAATTGTTACAAAACATATTATACATAACAAGTTATAGGTTCCGAAAATACCCATTAGACAGTGTAAACGAATAATATGTTACACCTTTTCCCGGAACGAAACACGGGATTAGAGAACAAAAGGTATGGCTTGCAGATTCCCTACAAGTTTGGCCGTCTGAAGATAGCTACAACAGCTACTTTCACAATGGCTTAGTATCTTCGGGAAAACACTTGTGAAAGAACACTGCCAAAACAATATATTAACGGCCGCAAAACATGACATAGGTATTCAGTAAGATACATATTGGAATGATACAATCTGCAACAAGCATACTCTAACATACTATGTTTCAGTAAGGCGCGACAACATTCTAAGACCAAACGTTCCAAATTCCGAAAAGCTTGTTTTCCCCATCTAGAATACCCAGCAGCACCAAACAATGGCCTATGAATCTAAAATTAATGCGTTCTCTTTACTAGACCACAACGTCTTTAACCAATTTAACATTCTACATTATTCAAACACCCCCCCGATTGAATCTACCAGTGCGTACAAAAGACGACCAAAATAATTCCCGAAAGGCAGTGAGCCTAGCTTGTTAGAATAAGGTTCCGTAAGCTTATTCATTCCAGTCCTAAACTAAATAGAAATACTAAAAGTAAGCGGCACTTTTAACAGACAACAGTTCTATAAAAGGTCTCTAAACTTTCCCACCAAACACATACTTATCATAAGATTTTTAAGAAAACCTGCCACAATTACATTCTAAAATATAATACTTTGCTGTACAACCAACCATTTCAATTCAAAGCCCAGTTCTGAACCATATAATTTATATAACAATTTTCTTTCGCCGCCTTCCTCCTTTTAAAGAAACACAAACCTAGCCATTACAACAAGATCTTCATCAAATTTCAAACAAAACTCTTCTATATTAAAAATGACGTTCACTGAAAACCTTTCAAGCAAAGCCTACAATAATAAAAACAAAATAAAAATTATAATTTCATCATAAATTTAAAAAAAGGAAAAATTGACCAACAATATGCAAAGTGTCATAACAAGATCAACTAGTAGAACCTCAAAAACCATAAAAAAACATAAGCAACAACTTGACGATATCCACAAATCCATCAACAAAACACAACTAACACGACTTCATCAATAACACTCAAAATGTCATCAATAACATCAAAAGTGTCATCAACAACATCACAAATTCACTGTCAACAATTAACACCTCAAACAACACTACTACAATATCCACGAACATCGCCCCAGGGCTCGGGACCTCAAAATAATTCTCAATATGCAATGAAGAACTTACTTATGTTATTCAAAAACAATTCCAGAACAAAAACAGAGTTTTATTACGACGTGCATCCTGCAGCGATGTTATTCATTAGTATGACTCCCAGAATTCAATTACAATGTCAGACAAGGCTTAAACGTGTGTAATACCACAAATGCTTCCAAAGTGTTTCTGATAAAAAAGAATACATACCATCAAGGACAACAACATACCATCCTCTATTGTGAAGAAAGGACATTGCTAATTCAGAGTGGGAAAATTGAGTATTATGCCATCAAAGACGTTATTCATGCTCAATTCACAGCAAAGTCGTTTCGTTGACGTGAGATTGTTATTTCAGTGCAAAACATTCACGTTCCCATTAGTTTTTAAAAATTTTGAGAACATTCCGAGAAAAGATTTTACAGTACGAAGAACACTTGCCTCTATTGTGAGTCAACACTTTCTCTTTGTATAGAATCTTGCTTTGTCAACGAAATCTCGTTTTGGTCAACTTCAAAAAGCTTTATTGATAAAATATGTCATAAATTGTGGCATTTAGTCGTTCATTTTTCAGATCGTAATCTTGGTTTGCAACAATATTTACTTTTCGTCAGTTTGGCAATATTACACTGGATATAAGTATGTTTTTAACATTACTATGGCTTCTTGATGGAATAACTCGCCAATCTAATGATATTGTTGTTTGTTTTGATCGTATTCGGTAAATAAGAGAAAGTAACTTTTACTATTCACATGACTTATTGCTCCATCTACCATAATCCGTCTATTATACTACAATAACGTAACCGAAATCTTGAACAAACATTTCTGATCTGATCGCGCAAGTCATTCATCCCGTATTCAAATTATCCAAGGCCGCATATTCTCCATACATACCTTAACTGACCCATTTATGTGGAAGGAGCGCAAACTTTTTGTTTCTTGCCTCTGGAAATGATCTCCCATCGTTGCGCGAGAGACATTCGACTGTCTAATGCCTCTTTATCAAAGCTTCTCTCCTCGCCCTTCGCCGAGTTTATTAGTCGCAATCAGAAGGGCGAACCGCTGTTCTATTCAAATCGTCATCTATCCACTACAACATGACAACGCGCTGGTTGTGCTAAGCCATGTGGCCATTGCTGCTAATATTGTTATGGAGGTCCGGTGAAGGCAAGTCCTTTATCAGCCAGCCGCTCACGACCAGTCTCTGGAGCCAGGTCAGGCGCAGCAACACCCAATCCGATCTCATCGTGCCCAGTTTGTGTAGCCTTCCCTGTGACCGTGTGTTTCATGCGCAGCGATACGGTAACACAAGTGATTGTCTATGCGAATGCCCTGAGGAAACGCCGATCTTTCTTCAGACGTTAGGGCAGTGCATTCAAAGAATAGGTAATTAGATACTTAATTACGCTTGCTGTTAATGACATTGGCTTTTGTTGATTTTACAAAGAAACTCCATTAAAATTTTAAAAACATAAATGTTCATTATATATATCTTGGTTAATTTCAGAAGCCTGTGCGCGGACAGTCAAATTCAGTGAATCGGATATTCCGGTGATCGAACTCCCAAAACGGTTATCTAAAATCAATTTCGAGAATAAAGTGTTGTGGAAAGGTAAACAAACATTACTCTTTACATTTCTCATAACTCGCCTTTGCTCTCTGTTACAGTAAACTGTCTTCTTCTTATTGAGTTTCATTTATTCACAATGTCGTTTAGAAAGCGGAATAAAGATCAAAGCAAATTCTGGAGCCAGATGCAATGTGACTTCAGTGCAATACCTCAGCCTCGACCAAAGTTGGATCGAGCTCAGTCCGGATATTATATATCCGAGTTGGGATAAGGAGGCCGTTTTTCGTGTAAGATTTATCTAATTTGATGTACTTGTAGTGAATTTACAATCAGTGAGATCAAGTTTGTATGAAGTTAACATAATATCAATTTCAGTGGAATGGCACAGCTTCTGATAACAACTTGTTAGAAGGCAGTCTGGTACTAGTCAATTTGAACTGTTTTGGTACTCTCAAGGACGCACATTGTCTCACATTTAGAGTAAATGGTGTTTTAGGCAAGGTTTTATATTAATTATATTTTCCGTAGTACGCTTGAAAAAGATGTTTTACTATAACTTTAAACTCTTGATTTTAGGAAAGAATACAAAATTGAATTTTTGAAATTCTACAATAACGTATTTTTAGATAACAGCAGCCAAGAGGACGAACCCAAAAGTAACCGCGCAGAAATATTTATTATTATACTACTGATTACTTTACTGTTGTTGACGATAGCCGGCGCTGTCGTATTATGGAATGTTTGTTGGAAAATGAAGAAGAACCAGCTGATCACAGGGTTACAGCTGCAGTTCTTGTATCGCCTCAAGCAGGAGAAAGACATGGCAGAAGCGGCACAGCATTATCAAGCCTTGGCCAATGCTGCGTTGAATAACGAACACCAGAAAGAAGACCAAGCCAATCCGAACAGAGCCCACATACTGGCCAAAAGGAAACTTTTCTTTTCTCCAGGTAAGTTGTATGTTATAGGTTAAATTAACTTTACTCAAGCATGTTTTGTCTTATAAATCAAAAAACATTTAGAAATTTAACGTATTATATTTTTACTTTCAGAATTTTTCGAAGAAGAACACATGAAGTCACCTCCTCCGATGGCTGATCAATTTCTTCTAGATCTACGCAGAATGGTTAAAATAGCCCGACAACGTATACAGCAGCAAAGGCATGTCCCCAGCCTCTCTACCATAAAAGAAGAACCACCAGAATTGTTTGAGCCATACATGAAGATGGCTAGAAAACAAGAAAAAACAAAGGCTGTGGTTACCGAAAAAGAACCAGCCAAGTTAACTGACCAGGTGAACAGTCTTAATAATAACACCATTGTTAATTCTTCAACAGATGCTGCTCAAGAAACCAAAGAAAACACCGTACCATCGCCTGAAGTGCAACCTCCGACCATAAAGCGGAACAAGTCACAAAGTAGAATCCCTGTCAACAACAAGTACAAGACAAAGTCTCCCAAACTCAACCCCAAGTTCATAATACCGACCACAAGTCCTGTGATGGACAGTCCTCCCCCTCTACCTCCTCGCAACCCACCTCCACCCATACCCTCAAAGTACCGGTCCAAAGAATCTAGTCCTCCAGACCGCTATGCCATTTTCCCCTCCGAACTATCGCTAAAAAAGTCGTTGCCACGCCGAAATCGAAAGTTCGACGAACGTGTCATCGCGAATGAAGTGTAAATAAACATAATTCTATGGTTAGGCATCATTTAGTAGCTTAGTTTTTTATGTTATTAAACTATTGTAGGCGTTAGAAAGTTATTAAATTACAGTAATGATTCCTCTTAGGTAGGTGTAGTTTCTTGACGATGATCGTCGATGACAGGCTTGTCCTTAGCTTTAGTATGCTTCAATCTGAATGATTAATCTGTGGGTTCGTCGTTCATACTTTCTGAAAACATTGTAAATGGTAGAACGGTAGGCAAATGAGGCCGATAAACAGCAAGGTAGAAGAGAACCGACTACGGCTCACATACGACAACTATCACTTTACAGACCGGTAGATCACACAAGACTTATACAGGTAGAAAAACTGTAGAAAAACTAGTCTAACCTCCTTTGTCCTCTTCGGGCGGCGATTTAGGGACATTGTTGTCGTTGGAGTCCTCTTCTTCTGGTTGGTCAACTTGGTCTAAGATAATGTTATCGGCCTCGTCGTAGTCATCATCTTCCTTCTCTTCGTCATGCCTAAAACGCGTAACTAATATTAGTCAGTGCTTCCTTACCTTTTATCTGTTTCTTCTTCGTCTCCAGATCCTGTTTCCTCTAAAAAAATAAAATGAGTTAATAAAGCCATGTGTAGTAAGAAAAAAAAATGTGACAAAATTTACCACAATCGACTTCTTCCAATTCTAAGTTCTCTGGTTTGTCTTTCGGCATAGCATCTATTTCATTTCTTAATTCTTCCAGCTTCCTACCGACCAAGTCCAACCTCTCTGTCTAAACAAACGGACCTTATAACACCTTAATTTTACATAAACATAAATTCAAAAAATAGAAAAATTTTTCCATTTTTCTATTCTACATGGAACAGTATACCTTGCCAATAAAATGAAAACATACGTGTGTAGCCTTATCTGAATGAATACACAAAGTGAAGATGTCAGTAAGGTCAAACCTCAGCTTCCTCTCCAACTTGATGATCTCTTCGTCTACTTTTGGCTTCTCTGTGGTCCGAATCCTTTTAGGCGCATTTCCATTTTTAATGGGACTCCTGGGCCTTTTCCTTTCGATTCTGATTGGTTGAGTTCTTCTGGCCGGAGGATCAACATACCTAAAAGTCAATAAATATAATAAAATAATTTACACTTACTTTGCCGGATTCCTGACTGGTGGAAGATACTTTCTTGGATCGATTTTGGCTGGTCGTCGTCTAAAAACAATGCATCCATAGACAGTATTTCTAGCCCTCTATATTGACAGAACTAATTAAGGTCAAACGAATAACTCGAAGACAATTTTATCGAACACGTGTCCTCAAAATAATCCCAAAAAAAATACAGAAATACCAAAACTTACACTACTGGCACATCCCTTCGTCTGTGATCAAAGTTTCTTCTGTCAAAATCGCGTCTTACAGGTGGTGGAGGAGATCTCCCTCTTCTGGGCGGACTTCTCCTTCTTATTGGACTTCCACCTCTTCTGTTGACATCGTTTCGATAGTTATTTCTTCTATTGTTGTCGCGAGGATTGTAAGCTCGTATCATGGTACCAACACCAATGTCTAATGAACGAATGAATATATACAAGTGAACTTTTTCTCCAACGCTCGAACTCGCGAGTTAATTTTCCGAAAATCTTTTTTACAAACTGCGTCTTTTCCCGTAGCAGGCTGCGCCCAATTATTATGATATCCGCGTATTTTAAGAATTTTTGTTAGCCAAATGTCTCCGAAGGGCTTTTTCTTGATTCATTTATAAATTTCTGAGTTTCGAAGGCATAAACAGAAAGGTGAATATTTATACACTATACTAACTAACTATATATTTTATAACTATAACTTATCTTAAAAAGTGAGATTGTGAAGTCAATGACGAGATTTGAATGTCTTACGAGACAAAGAACTTATTTGATACCTCTAAAGAGCTTGGTAATGTGCTCGATTACAGTTACTTGGTGGACGAGAACTTTGTTTTAGTCGTTGGTCTGACTTCCAAAGGTATGGACAACATGATTCTTATTATTTTATGTATTTAGGTAACATTGTGGTCTTTCATGAGACTAAGAATCAAAAGACTTGTGACTACGTTAACCTCTGTGACATATATCCCGAATTCCTCGAATATCTTCTGATTAATCTTCTCCCCGATGCTTCTGCCGTTGTCTTGGTGCTATGTAATGGAAAATTACTGGTGATTCCTATCAAATACATAATTGTAAGTCTCTTTTTTATATTTTTTAAATTATAGTTTTTTAACCAACGTTTGATTTGTAGAATGCTTCTTGGGCTCAGCGACAGTTCTTCTGTAATCAACCGTTGCTGGTGAATCTGGAGCTGTCTTCTTCTAATAAATGCTTCAATGTGCCTACTTCGGTGGTTTCGTATATATCAAAAGTGAACAATAGATACAACTTGTTGTTTAGTCAAAAGGTAAGATTTATGACGATATTTTTTGCTTTGTTTTTAGATATTGATCTCTATTGATTGTGATTACACTGATGAGCTGCATCTTTTAATGTTTTCATGCGTACTAATATCTTATTTTTCAGTCCGGTAGCGTACATGTTGTAGACTTAGAGCTTCAGAAAGTTGTAGCCAGTATCAATACTGAAGAAACTATTAACGGTTTACAGTTATTTGACAACACAGACAAAACTCGGTACTTGGTTGTGTCGCAATTTACAAACAAACAATATGTGTGGCCGTTGGAGACTGATACTCAAGGAATCAGGGAGACTTGGGCACATTTTGTGCCTGATAATGATTTGATACCGGTTTTGTGCCAATTGAATACGCACAATGATAGAAAACAGCTGACTTTATATTTCGTGGATTCTGGGAGTGTAAGTTAATGTAATGAGATGTTAACAGTTTATTTTTTTTATATCTTTATAAAAAATTCATTCAAAAGTATTTTCTGGAGTTGAGTTATGTCGCTAATTATTATTAATTTCAGTTAGCGTTGGTCGATGACATTAAAGACTTAAAGTTCAAAGAAACTATAAATGGACTTAAGAATTCGTGGTTTACATATTATTCGTCGTCTTTAATTGTATTTGTAACTTCAGGGCAAGAGTTACAGTACTTTTTTGCGTTTGATGAGGTAGGTGGCTAATACATTTTTGTTCAAAATAAGTGAGGTTGCAACTTCAATATATTGAAATTTTAAAATATTTTTCAGGAAAACTTAACGGAGTCTATTGAACTGAACTGTGGGTTACCTTGCCAGCCATTAGGATTTGTGCCTTTATTGTCAACGGTCGATGGCCTCGCGAGATGTCTGTTTATTAATTCAACTGGGTTTTATTCGTTTGAGCCAATAGCGTAAGTTTCATTCAATATCATAAAGTTATTTTTTAATTTAAAGCACCATACTTTGCAACGAATTATATAAACTTTCAGGGCTTTACCTAAAATAACAATGGAGTACATGAACACCCGAGGGTACTTAAAGGACAACTTTGTACGATTATGTGAATATACCAAAAACGAACAGTGCAAATTGTACGAAGACGTACTGGTCGAGAGCATCAAAGAAGCAAAACCAGGATACGTTGATGGTATTATATATCTTGGTATTGAACTTGGTGTAAGTTAACTATAAGCGTTTTTCATACTGAAATGTGGCAGACTATTAAAATTTCTCTTTAGATCCCGCTACGCAAAATAGCGTCAATTTTAAAAGAGAATCAGGAGTTTGATGCTTTGATACCATTTCTTGTCATGAAATCGCAGAAGGAAGCCAAGGACGTAGAAGCTCGAGACCTGTTATTCGACATTTATTTGCACAAACTCTATAAAGATGGTCCTACGCCAGCTCTAGAGAACTCTTTGTACATATTCCTCATAGCCTACCTGGTGTCCGAAGATGTCCTCAAGGTATTTCTACAAAACAGACTCTTATCTTGTGTTCTGGTCTACTTGGCCAAGTCCAGAAGCACAGTATCTCAACAGATTGCTTCGTATCTTGTCGAAGTCGAGGATTGGAAGGTGTTCAAACAACAGGACCTACTCAGGGTTCTGGTCAATTTACACTGGAATGCGATTGACAGTGCGACAAAGCAACGAATGTTAAGTTTGGTCGAGAAATACACTTTAGCGTTGCCAGAGTTGCACGAAGTAGTCATGGTGCTGAATATGGCTGACAATTCGGTTCGAAGTGACGCTGATTTTTTAAAAATTGCTATCGTCGCGGGACTTTCTGCACAATTCAAATTGGTAAGTAAGATGTCATAAATTGGGGAAAGGGACACTGTTAAAAACAACGTCCATATTTAAAAATTTACACATGTATTACCATCAATATTGTTTCAGAAAAACTACAAGCTAACCAGATGGTCTCCTGTTGGTTGTGGCTCCAACTTTTGTGTCGCCCTTTCTGATGACAATAGTTTGTGGGCGTGGGGAGAGTTTGTAGCCGGAACAACGAAAGCCAAGAACGTATCTACTCTTACTGGTTCAAAGCATATCTCGAAGTCTACGGTAGACCTGCCTCCTTTTAAAATGTCTAAAACTCCACGGAGGATCCAATTGCCAAGAGATCTACTAAATGATCCAGTCGGGGTAAGTTTTAACGATACTTAAAAAGAGATAATATTACTTTAAACATCTATTTATATTGTTATTATTGCATATATACGTTATTACCTTATTTCAGATTTGTGACATCAAATGCGGGACAGAACATGTCTTGCTGCTAGATTCCTCAGGCCATGTATACAGTTATGGAAAGAATAGATTTGGTCAATGTGGAGTTGGCCACATGGATCCAGTTACAGAGGTTACGGTAAGTGAAATTACAATATATTAGCTCAATGCAAAAGAAAGTGTAATATAGTGTTAGTTTTACAGAAAATCGATGGAGACTTTGGCACAATTACCGTCATATCAGCTGGAAATTACCACTCAGGGTTTATAGATGACAAACACAATGTTTGGCTATTTGGATGGGCCATCCACGGCCAATTGGGGCTGAATACTATAGCCAATGTGACCGAACCATTCCTCATCACATGCTTAAGGTTTGTTATGTATGACAATATCAGTCACATTCAATCTAATTGAAGGATTTCAATTGCAGTCGACTCCAAGTAAAGAAAAATTATGCCTGTTTAATAACTTCAATTACAGCAATCTTGACATTGTGAACCTGCAATTGGGAATGGCACACTCGATTTTCTTGACAAAGACCGGCCAAGTGTACGGGTTTGGTCATATGGAAAACGGAGAACTGATCAGAGATCCAGTAGCAGATCCTGCAGGCTTACAGAAACAAAAATCATTCAAACCGCTGTTATTGGACCTGCCAGAACCCATGGAGTCCATTAGTTGCAATTACTTCCAAGGCATTGGCATCAGTAAGACAGCCATCTATGTCTGGGGAGAATGTCCTCAAACTCTGAAGATGAACGCTTTCTGGTTGAAACACAAAATGGGCAAGCACAGAACGAACCCAGACGGTTTGGATCAATGGAAAGGTGAAGGAACCTCGAGTATACCTAGAAATCACTTTGGCTGCAAGAGGATCGCCTATTGGAATCTGGAGAAACAGCCTGCCATCAGACAGATATCCTGTGGGTATAACCATTGTGCCTTGTTGACCGAAGACGGCGACATCTACACATGGGGGAGGGCCTTAGACAAACAATTGGGACATGGTACCAAAACCGACAAAGCCACACCGACCAAGTTAGTGGAACCTATCGACGTCAAGTGGAAATTCGTTCATTGTGGTAGGTTTTAATTAAATTTAACATTCTTTTACTTATCATCAACATTACTTCAAATTTTTTCAAAATTATCAATAATTTTGATAATACTTCAGGACGCAACATGACCATAGCGGTTACGACTAGAGGAGAATATTACACTTGGGGAAGAAACGACAGAGGACAATTGGGCGTTAAAAGACAGGAAAACATCAATACCACTAGTGATGGTGCTCCAAAAAAGTATTTCTTAAAGTCTTCAACTGGAAACAAACGCCCAATCGAACTACCGACCTCACAATGTGTAGGCAAACCGACACCGCTTTTGACACTGAACGTTGGTATCCATCATATAGGTATGTTAGTAGTTTATAAACTTTCTAATGTATAAAACTGACACGGTTTTTAAGGGTTCTTATATATATTAATCAAACTTTTGTAGCCGCCATCAACATTGAAGACAAGCTAAACTTATGGTTAGAACAATGTACTCAGTCTGACTTGGAGAATGTCTCAAAGAGACTACAACATCAACTCATCTGCTCTCCCTACGCAGTTAAGCTTCTGCTAAAAGCGGGATACTTGATACCTGCTCTACTCGCCTTGGCAAAGTGGGCCGAGATGAACAAAACTACTATCGCCGTCAAACAAACATCTGAGTCAACTGATTCTGATAATGGAAACACACCTACAAGTTCCGCGTCGTCGATCATTGTATCAGACCCTCAATCTCTGGTGGAAACATCTTACAATCTGATGAATGCTCACCCAGCAGAAGAGGTAAAGCTTGTCGCGGTCTTGTTGATGATGAAGGCCGGATACCCGATATTAAGCAGGCTGGCGATCAATCAACGTCTCTGCAAGTTAGTGGCCGGCCACATTGAACTACCACAAAGTCCACCGAGATCAGGCAGAATGAGTGTTTCAGCCAAATCTCCAATATCCTCAACTCCTTCTACAGTACTGTCTGCCTCGGATTACTGCAGTTCGGGATCTCTGAATCGACAGAAAATGGGAGAACTAAACCAAAAGGAGCGCCAGGCCATGTTGAAAAAGGCCAGACTTCCCGGCCATTCAAAGTTGCAACTTCTGATCAAACGAGCGACAGATTTGAGCGACAAATTCGTGTTTTATTCAGAATGTGGACATTACGAAAGAAGGATTGTGCCGACTTCCGTGAAAAGACAGCAACAATTAAAATCCAGCAACAAGGCCAAACTGTGCTCCATCTGCCTATCTCCGTAACAAAACGCTCTCTATAGAAAACCTGTACATAATTCACTGAATTCTTTCATTTTTTCAAAACTACATTATTGCCGAAAATGAACACAGCCATGTCATAAACGTTGTAACTTGTATAAACTGTAAAAAATTCCATCCAAAAGCTGTTCGATTTACAATTCTAAAAAATTTTGACCGAGAAATATTTATGAGAAAGTAAGAGTCGACTCGCAACTTACTGTGTCATGTTTGGCATTGAAGAAGTTTCTTGAATTTCGTCGAACAAACATCGCATTTCCTGTGGCAAGTGTTGATGTCATCACAGTCTTCAACTGAGTTCTTCGCCCTTTCAGATCACTTCAACATTTGGAACGCCGATTGCGGCTTCTGGATATTTTCCTTGTTTTAGATTACGTCGGGTTTTGGGTATTTTTGTGCTTTTGTGGGCAAGATTTTGTTTTATGCGTAAATTTACTTTTCTTTCTATTTTTGCGGTTTTTTTTATTTTTGTTTGATATTTTTAGTTTTTTAGTTATTGTTCTTGGTTTCAGAAAATGGCATCCACCACTACTTTGGTGCTTTTGGCTTTGCTCGCCCTATCAGCCACCGCCCGCTATACGAGACCACACCGTCACCACCAATCTCAGCCAATCGAGATCATTGAGATCGACGAGATTGTGGTTGAAGAATCAGGAAGCGGCTCTGGGTCTGGAAGTGGTTTGGAAGACGACGTTCAAGCAGCTTCTGGCAGTGGCTCTGGAAGTGGATCTGGTTCAGGAAGCGGTTCAGGCTCCGGCAGTGGTTCTGGCATCGAGGAATCTGGCAGCGGCTCTGGCAGTGGTTCAGGAAGCGGCTCAGGATCTGGTATTGAAGAATCCGGCAGTGGATCTGGTTCAGGAAGCGGCTCTGGCTCAGGAATCGAAGAATTCGGCTCTGGAAGTGGAAGCGGCTCAGGTTCCGGTGTTGAAGAGTCTGGCAGCGGCTCAGGAAGTGGATCCGGATCTGGTATCGAAGAATCTGGCAGTGGATCGGGCTCCGGCAGCGGCTCAGGATCTGGTATTGAAGAATCTGGATCTGGCAGTGGCTCAGGAAGCGGTTCGGGTTCCGGAATTGAAGAATCTGGAAGTGGATCTGGCTCCGGAAGTGGCTCTGGACTTGAAGAATCTGGCTCTGGCAGTGGATCCGGCTCTGGAATCGAAGAATCTGGCAGCGGCAGTGGATCTGGCTCTGGTAGTGGATCGGGCTCCAACTAATTTAACAACTTACAACTTCATAGCTTATATCGTAACTTATCTTACATATCTAACATATTGCCATTTACAATGTTTTACTAACTGTATTTCTCGATTGTGAATAAATCATGTATAACTGAATTATTGGCTTCGTTTATTTGTTCCTTTGTCTAGAAATATTTGATTGTTCGGTCGGCTTTTACTGTTTTGTTGGTTTTATCGAACCATATTTATTCATCAAAAATTCATTGGCATCGGTAGAATAGTTTTTTTTGTTGTTCTATCAGAGGACTTTCGTGTTGCTCTGTTTAGTTTGTTTTTTTCCAAATTTCAAGTTTGCTTATTTCTTTATGTTACTAACCTTCTTTGGAGAATTTTGTGGTATATATTTGAAATGTTGACTTTAAAAGTATGCCATACAATGTTATATTCGTTTATTGTTTGAATGAAAAAAGGTTTCAAACTTGAGTATGAAATAAAAGTTGGATTAGTACAGAAAATGACGTTCAAAAAGGTTTTGAACGATGGAAACAAATTATCGGAGAAAGACCCGGGCGTCGGGGAAACAAAATAAGTCAACAACAATAATGCGACAGATAGAAGATAAATGTATAGTTAGGCACAGTTAGTTAAACTCATCACGTGATACATGTATAATAATTCGAACTGATATATGAAATGGTCGAATAATAAGCTGAATAGATAGGCAACGACTGAAATCGAGTCAATTACTACTTAAAAACGGCATGTCGCGGTGTACAAAGACTATTACCATAAAATTTTGTATACCATTCACGCTTACCCCAAAGAGAAAGTTAAGAAGAGTAAAGTTTCTAATTAAAAACGGGGCAAAAAGATAAGACCGGCTTTGGAAAGGCGAAGAAACTACAAACGCGAGCAAAGGTTGTAACTTCATTCGCGTCCTAGTTAGCAAAATATGTTACGAAGATTCGGTTATGACTTCATCTCCAGTTCCTCGGACGAACAACATGCGATTGATGCCTGAACTCATCTCCTCCATGTAGTGGAAGAAGTCGTGAGCAGCTGAAATCAAATCAATTCAGTGGACAGATTAGAATGTTGTTTCTGCCTTCATCTACCAAAAACATCAATTGTAAAAACTGGACAGTAACTTACCTTCTTCCCCACGTGGGGCTTTTGGCAATGTGATGATGACAAGTTGGGACTCGGTCGAGTTCTCCTTCATCATGGCATTCAATCTAATGGCAGTCTGCATCTTGAATACCTTCTTCTTATCCAGATGATCAAACCTTGATGATGTTGAGTTGATTGTGTCCATGTTGGCTCCGTTTTCAGAACCAGGCGTCTCGGCGTCGGTACTGGCGTGTCGGCGGGTTGACTATAAAACAAACAATTTATTAAGCGTCTGTATAAAATTACTGCACAAATTGACAAAGAAACTTACGTCAACAGATCCAGTAGTCAACTGATGATCAGCTCCTTCTCTCATGTTCTGTCGCAACTCACGCAACAACTTGTTTCTGTCTTCCATGTACAAGGTTCGTACGAAGGCTTCTTCTGTGGCTGATGACTCATTCATGTCCACTACCTTGATTTCAGCGTCGATTCTGAGTTCGTAGATGTACTTCTTAAGGACCTCTCGCATCTTAACGTTGTTTTCACTGCTTCCGGCTACACACATGACTCTAAGCTTGCATCCTCTCCATACTTTGTGTTGTCTGAGGAGGAAAGCGATCAACAAACATAGACCACCATCCTTGACGATCCAGTAGACGTCGATGGTACCGGTAATCTTACGATCGGGGAAGTCGGTGATTCCCTTTGCGACAACCAATGCCATGCCGTTCAATGTTCCGACCAACAGTTTGTCTGTAACATATTACGTTTTAAAAAATAATGCAACCAAAGTGATTGTTATTAAGGAAATACGTACCAATAAAGGTGTTGTATTCCATCGTAGCCGATCCATCGTCATCTGAAGGCTTTGTTGGCCAACTGAGCAACAAAGTGTTTGGTCGTAGTCCACCAATACCAATAGACTGAATCAGAGTGTTGACACATCCACGGATCTGGTCTTCGTTGTACAGAATACTCTTGGGGAATCCACGAAGCCTCACGGCATCCATGTCTTTCTTCATTCTGTTTTTAATCTACAAAAGGTGTTAATTACATTAATTTACTAACTGTATTCTAAAATAGAGAAATAAAACAACAAAAAAAGAAAACCTACTTCCTGAGCTCTTTCGACATCTGACTGGGTACTGGAATCTCCTCTGACAAAGGATACGACCATTGTCAACCCTTTACCAGCCTTCATCTGAGCAGCCAAGTTCAACAAGTTCAAATACCGAACATCCAACATCTCTTTGGACCATGGCATCGAGTGTAACAACAAGAGCTGAGGTCTCCAGTTCTTGGCGTCCTTCTTGTTCTCATCGATCTTCTGAATACTGTATTGGGCAGTACTCAATGCCAGACCTCTGAATCCGTCTCCCCATTCCTTCTTGGCTCCTTTGTATTCGACGTACTTGTAGATAACCAAACACAGGACGATCGAAGCAATGGCGTACTCGATATGAGTTGAGAACATGATAAAGAAACACAAGGCGGCTCCCAAAAGAGACAAGCTCCAATGGTAGTAGGTGTATCTGGGACGCCAATTTGGAGCGCCAAGGACAGAATGCATGGCACAAATCATGTTGACAAAGGCGTAACACATAAGGAAGAAGAAGTCGACTACGGCAGCAATCGAATCCATAGCACCCATCAAGATACCAAGTTCGGCGATGATAGTAGTGATGATCAAACCGTTGAAAGGCTCGTTGGATTTAGTGACTTTGGCAAATGGAGCGAGGATTGGAATGACATCATCCTTGGCAATTGACTGAAGAAGACGTGGAGCACCTATAAAATCATAAAAATAGATGTAAAACATTAACCGCTATCGTTGATTATGTATAAAAGATTAAAACGTACTGCAAAGACATTGTAAAGCAGCACCAAATGTCGATAGAAAAGATCCTATGAGAAGAACCCATGGTGAAGGCCACGCCATCAATGAAGCCGTCATACCACCATTCAGAGACTGACCGTACTTGTCTCGTAAGACTTCTGGAGTGATAGTGAATCCAAATACTAGAGCCAAAGAGAAGTAGACAAACGATGTTGTTAATTGAGCAGCGATTGTACCTCCAGGAATCGATTTCTGAGGATTCTTCAAGTCTCCGGACATGTTCGTACCGGTGAAGATGCCAGTTACCGCAGGGAAGTAGATAGCCAAGATCAAGAAGAACGAAGTTTTGGCGTCTTGGAAGATCTCAACAGTAGTGTCGGCTTCTTTTCCTTGTAGGTATTCACCGGTGTGGGGATAGCTGCTTCCCAAGTTCTCGATCAAAGTGTGATGGCCGCCAGGAAACCCGTTGACACATGCTAACTCAGATATATTCCATATTTGTGAACACGTTTTCGTAACATTATTCCCGATACATAAACTGTCAAGTAAATGTGGGTTTCTGAAATAAAACTTGTTATGTTACAAGATCCTATCATAAGCTTCTATTAATTAAACACTTACGTTGGAACACAGTAATCGCACAGTTCGTCCAAAGTTGCATTCTCGGGCATGTACGCCTTGGATTGTAACAAACGTGGACCTATCATGCATACTCTAAAATAAACTTATGAATATAGATCACCGAGAATGCAATTATAAGTTTTGCGCCAAGTAACTAGTAATTCCTTACTTTTGACCAGCATCCGGATAAATACTCTTTTCCACAGCACCAGCGTAGACCGCCAAGATAGACAATATGACACACACCAAAGATACAGGGGCCAACAATTGTACAAACTTCACACCCATAGCGACAATCAGAAACTCGATGATGACTAGAATGGTTCCGTACAGTCGAAGATTGTGGGTCATCATTCCCATGGGTCCGGTGTCTGTGTGCACGGCAGATCCTCCTATGGTAAGGTCCGGGAATATGTACAACAACAGTATTTCCACCCCTCCAACTAGGTACATAGCAGTTGCTACCGTATTAGCCAGGTAGAACAGTATTCCCACAGCACTTCCAAACTCAGGTCCCAAATTTCTGCTGATCATGAAGTAAGCACCGCCACTTTCGATGACACCGTTTGTGGCGACAGCTGACAAACTGATACATGTTAAGAACGTCTAAAAAAATGAATAATAATTCATAATATTCGTAAAAAATGTCCAATTATTGCCGATAAAACCATCAACTTACACACAAACAACACAAAAACAACATTCCGAAGGTTTCCCCAACTCCAGCTACGCCAACACACCAGCCCAGACGAATGAACATGGTAACACCCAAAATGTGTTGGATTGTAGGGAGATATACGCCCAACATGACACCAAGATCTGCCTGAAACAACACGCATTAACCACTTTCAAAAATTTAGTAAAGTTTATTATAATTTTTAAAGACTCCAGAAAAACCATAGTAATTGTTAAGAACTATACCTTCGCTTTGGCATTCTTGCTAGCAGCTCTCTCCTGTGGACCGGGAGTGGTGTAACCTCCAACTAGAGCGTTCAAGAAGTTGCTTTGTGCTTCATTCTCGTACAATGCCAAGTTGTTTTCTCGTGGCTTTTGACGGAACGAACCGAATCCCATGAAGCCATGATCATCTGAATTTAACAACAATAAAGATTGAAAGCGACCTCGAGTTCGCGTCCTAGATCGTGACATTTTTATAATAACCACTACACCATCCCCCTATCAGAAATTATCTTATCACACAATTCGTCAACATTTTCTCTCTAAACTGTCTGTACTTTCACATGAATAAGCCTTGATTTAATTGTTTCATAAATTATTGCTTTTTCGAAACCCCTAAAGCTCAAATTAGTAATAATGGTAAGCCAAATAAATAATGTGTCATAAAAATAATGTCATCCACAAATTATCAGATATCGTCCATCAAAAAAGCCAAAATAAGACGCCTTAATGTGAATAACAAAAGCCCCAAAACAAGTTCCTTGTAAGCAACTAAAGAAAGCAGACCTTTTCTGGGCAAGTTATCGTCTAGCCTTTCGTTCTGATGTTGAACAGTCTGGTCTTCCAACAATGGAGTTGAATCTGGGTCATCCTTCGAGTGGATACTTTGGGATGACTGCCCAATCTTCTCCACGTGAAATATCCGGTGACATGAGGGTACTTTCTGAATCCGCCTGTCAGCACCATACCCGTTCTCCAAGTCCAAATTACTCGGATTCATGTTGTTGATATATTCAAGTTAAGTAAGTCATAAACAAAAGCTGAAAAGAGTTATGTGAAGCGATATAAATTGTTAGTAAGTTAACAAAGTTAAGCAAAAACCCAATTAAACGCTTTTTAATCAAAAACATTTGCAGCCAAATGGATTAATATAACTATTACAATTGATAGGTATAACCCGCAATGTACTCATTATTTGGACTAATAATAATAACACATTGATGTACAATACATTTTAACCAACAATCTGATAAAAAAAACAACTCAAGTCACAGAGTATGAATAGCAGATCCTATAAAAGCTTTCGAACCGATATAGCTGTCTCGACTGTAATATCTGTCCCAGAAAAGAACTGGACATAAGGGGAACGTCGCCGCCTTAGTTTCTGGTTTATAAACGTTTCAATTATGAATATTATGCTTTTATAGAGTCGAAAAATTATTATTTTTTTTGTATATTATGCACTATACACAAAAAATTCGCTGGCAATTTTCCTATATTACAATAAACTATTTCAATTAATTTAGCTTTACAAATATAGAATATCACAAAAACTTCAAAAACCTTGAACAAATCCAATTCAAAGTTCAACAGTTAAGAAACCAGTAAAGTCCAGTGCGCTTTCAGAGATTTTAACTGTTTGGACAAAAGTTTAGTGACATTTAAGACCTAAGCAAACACAAAACACGTCTATTAACACCCGGCCTTTGTCCTATTAACACTAATACTCACTTCTCTGACACATTACAAAAAACACTCTTGTCATAGGATGTAACCAAAACAGAACGGTTTACAAAACAAATGCCTCTGAAGCCTTGGTTTAATTTTCGAACGGCAATTTCCATTTCAGGGCCATAAACGAGAGAAAACCCATAGCGGCCAGTTTCCCCAGCTGGCTTTTAGAGGGCAAAATTAACCCGTTTTTCGTGTTACTACTATAATATGAAGCGTTTGATTCCGAAACGATATGAATAAAGGATAAGAAGCTACCAATTAGTGGAAAGTTGCAAAAAATAACTTTGTTTGTCGAGTAAACCAAACAAACCCAATATTCAAATAAGCTCAGACGCCAGGTGTTCTCTGACTAAATCAGCTGCAGTAGAATCGTTTCGAAATTTCGCGCCAATTGCGCAAAGCTCCAAACGTTCTGGATAAAGCGAGATAATTAAAGAAGACACAACTAAACAAACAAAACTTCTATAATTGGACCAAGCTAACTTTTCACATGTTGTTTCAGCTAAAGATAGCCCTCGCTTTAACAAAAATAACATCCAGAGCAGTTAAATTGCTAGTAGCATTAAATAAAACATGAACTAAAATAAAAACCTAATATACCATACCCTAATTTGTCATTTTAGTCATAAATCTACTGCAAAATCACGTAATTTTACAAATAACGGCATATATTATAGTATCCACAACAAATTTAGTTTCAACCTCCGCAAGAAATTAAAATATAGTCTTGGTACCTAAATTAAATAAATAAAACCAAAAAACATACCCTGAGAGCTGGAGGAAGTGCCGCTAGAGGAGATGGAGTCCTTGTGAACCGTCTTCCTGCAAAAAAATGTAAAAAATTGACAAATTGTGGATAAAATTAATTTAATGAACCGTATGACAATATCTGAATGCTAGAACAACAGATTATAAATTCGAAAACCTATGTACCTCTAAATCGAGCAATCAATCGGTATTTAGCTGTAATTTGACAAAGTAAATTGATGAAATATTTCCAAAATACAAAGAATGTCTAAAAATACTGTCATGATGACATATTTTGTAGACATTCCCCAAACAAGGTTTTCAAAAAAACCAAATTTTGTTTGGAATCGAGGATCAGAAGCATTTTTCGATATCGGTAATAAATATTTGATGGGGTTTTCGGGTCTAATGTCGTGTTTTAGGTATGTTGACATCAGTTTCACATTATTTTTGATAAAGTGCCGTTTGAAATTAAAAAAAATAAAACGTTCGAAGGTTTTGAATCTGTCTAAACAAACCATTCGAAAATGTAGAACTGTTTGATTGACTTTTCGTTGAGATTAGTGACATTAGAAGGTGTAAAAATTGAAATGACTTACATTTCTTGTCCATTCGGAACATTCCCACCAGTATCGCTGTCTGCCACCCGCCTTTTCATGAAGACCTTCCCAAATATACCTTTTCTGAAACATACATGGCTCGAATATGACGATAGTGTTAATATTTATAAGAAGTTATAATCATAATTTATAAAAGTGTACTTTCATCTAAAAGGTTTTCGTAAAAAGAGCACGGTGCAGACTTTGGTTTGATGCAATTTCAAAATAATTCAAAAAATTAACGGTGAGCATTTCAAAAAGTTCGTATAAAAAATTTTGCGTTATGCATTTTAGCTTACATTCAGGGTATTATAAATCAATATAGATAATTGATAATCTACTAGACGTTGCAAACTTAACGGCAATTAAGATTAACTTCTTAAAAAGCGGAAAATATGATCTGACTTGCGAAACTTAAGATGGTCATCGGATGGGTAAAACCCTAAAAAACGGGGATCCGGTTTAAAAGAAGATAGAGTGATATAACTGTTAAGAGAGTAATCTCACTTTTGCATTATCAGATTACTGTCATTGATAAAGCTACTGCTAACGTTTATTTTTAAGGTAACTAATGTTGTTTTAGTAATTTACTTTATACTTTATAAATGTTATGCTGTGTAATCATAGTTCAATTGACTTTCGCGAATCGGAATGATATGCGCGGGAATTCAGAGGTATTACGTAAGCAGACTGGTCACTAAGGTCATGACGTCTTTTCTTAGATTTTCAGGATTTGGTATTCAAATATTGTTTTTACTCAAAATCTTTTTGTTTTTCTCGATTTTACTTATGACAGATTTGAATGTTGATTAGGCAATGAAATGTTTTATTAAATTCAAAAAAGACTTCGAAAACAACGGTATTATGTGTGAATAAGACAGGTCAAAAAGCAAAAGTAAGCTTAAGAGATATTTCAGTACGCAGTGGTAGAGTACATGTTTTGACATAAATAGTATTGTACGGTTAAAGTAGTAAGGAAAAATGGTATCGTCAATCAAATATAACGTAAATTAAAGTGCACGATCATAAAAACAAAATTGATACTCGTATCTTGATATAACATTGATTATAACAAATGGATTGATTCTCGGTCATACAAAATTGAAGGAATCAAATTAAACAAAGTCCTAACAGTCTGCATTACAGTCGAAAGTGAAGGAGTAAGATTGATTATTATGATTACTTTCTATTATGAAAAACAATAAGTAGCCGTGACACTGTAAAAAGTATGACTTTTTCGAATTTCAATGTAACTTCAAAGGTAAACGCAGTAAGAGTTAGCTATGCTCGATATTATTTTACATGATGAGAGAAAGTAATTACTACTATGGTGTCTTACCGTTTTTCTGACATCTCAGGTACTTCGGCAGAATGTAGTTAAGTATACTGTAGGGGAATAATAGTGAAAAGTGAAATACAGCCTCGAGCCTCGAATCAATCTAGAAGAGTGAAGTCGGTTTTACACGGATTATTATTCAAATACCATTTCCAAACTGATTTTGTATAACGTTGTCAAGAGTTTTTTTGCGGCCATTTACTGACCTTTCATACTTCATCTCCAAACTGAAACCAAGCGATTTGCATAAAGGATGACTTTTTAACTCTCCGTAAGTAAGGTTTGTAGAAGTTTGTGAAGGTGGAGGGGAACTTAGTGCTCCTTTTTGGACTCAATGGCACAGCATTCCGAACTTTTAGAAAAAATGTCGGTTGTAAATTTTGGGTTAAAAATGGGCCTAAAGCCGATTCCAAAGGTCAACTTTAAGTAGTTAAAAACTAAAGTAAGCAAAAAATTATAAAATCATTCAAATTTCAAACTTACTAAACATATATGAACTGTATATGCTTAAAAAGCCCAAATTTTTTTCTGTATAATAAAAATAAAATTTTTTATTTATTTTTTGTTTATTTTCTTGTTTTCCTCCTATATGTTTAGACTAGTTTTCATTTTTAACCCAAAATTTACAACCGACATTTTTTCTAAAAGTTCGGAATGCTGTGAATGGTTGTTTTTTGATTACTTGGGCCGACCGAACAGATCTATGGTATACCGTTACTTTAAGTCAAAAAATTCTTCAAAATATGCAAATTCAAACTATGGTTTAAGTTTTAGAGCTACTGTATCAGTAAACAAAGTTTTAACTATTACGTGATATTTTTGAAATTTCAGTGTTTAAACGTTACGACTTCTGATTAGCGTCAAATTTTCTAATGTACGATAATTGTATTAGTAGGGCTCTAAAGTTTTGTAATTTAAAAAAAATAGTCTCAAAAGCCTGTAGTTGTGGTTCGCTTTAATTTGTGGTGTTTGAGTTTTTAACAATTATACGAGTATCAAATTTATTAGTATACTATACAATTAGATCATTTAGTCCTTTACTTTTGCGGCGGCGGCTTTGACTAGAGGGCAGATGGATTCGATTTCACTAAAATTGAACATTTTAGTCATTTTTACAAGAATAAATTACTTGTTATTACTCTTATTACTAAATACTTTAGAAATGTTTAAATGTCAAATTGAAAATGTTTTTAAATATTTTTTGAAAATTTTTATAAGTTACTTACGAGATTCCAGCTTTTGACAAGCATTTGCAGGTTTCTTCGGCTTTGTCCTTCCAGTTCTGTTCTTGAGTACACTTCTTCAACGACGACTTGATGTCAGGGATATCCAGTTTGAGTTGACATTTCTTTTGGTCGAAGCAGAAGCCCTGGGCCTTGTTCTTGTCTTGGATACATGACTTCACACAGGTTCCGAACTCTTCAGAAACTCCAACGAGTTGTTGGATTGGGGTTGACAGAGAGTTGGCGACCTTGTTTGCCTTACTCTTGAAGTGGGCCACGAAGAGGTCCAGCATCTTTTCGATGTCGTGTTTTGGTACTTGCTCTTTGCCTCTGGTCTTGACACATCTGAAAAATATTAATTTTAATTTCTAAACATTCAATATTGTAACGTAGAGACACAGCATTGTGCAATTATGCCACCTTTACTTACGTGTCAGCCTTCTCTTCGAAGCAGTCGAAGAACATGGCAGCTTCAACATCCTTGTCCATCAAACACTTTTTAACTTCATCTGGTTTCGAGAACTTGCCCTTGAGTTTGTCCCAGCACCCTTCGGCACAAGTCAGTCCATGACCCTTCAGCTCAATCAAACAGTCGTTCTGTTCTTCACAAGTACATTCTCTGATGGTGGCACCTTCCACTTTGCTCTGGTCGATAATGCGTTGCATGATCGGGCCAAACTGGTCGAAGACATCGCTACTGATCACGGCCAGGACCAACAAAGCGAAGAGCACACCTTTGGTAAGCATCTTGGAAACAGATCAAGATTGTGGTGTTTGACGATGTCACAGTTGCTTATATACGGTTTCCTTCTTCAACAACATTAAACTTGATATTGTTTTGTAAACAAGTCATCAAGCGCTAAAATTTCGAAAATCAACGGGTTTCTTGGGTAGGACACATAGTAATCAACAAGCATGGGTGTGTGTTGTGTTCAACTGTCAACGCCATCTCCGAAATGTAAAGTGGAAGTAGAACTTACTGCTCGAAGATATTACACTAAGTGTAATGAGATATCTCTTCTGTTTTATTGTTTTTGGTCAGAAAACATAGAATAGTTGTAACGGCACGTTGAGAACTGCTTTCTACTTGAACATCAATTAAGGTTTTAGAAAATTTTCGTGTAGCGTACTGTAATTCAGCACTTATACTATTTTTTAGGCGACATTGTAATTATTTGATAAATACTAAATTTTCAATGGCTACTCTTTCGTATATATAACAGACGTCATGATACAATTAATATATTGTACTCTTACAATTGGCAGTGTGTTTAAACTTTTTTGCTCTGTTATTGTCACAAACAGTAAGGTCAAGTAGTTATTACATTGTGCTCATGTGGTGACCTTGATGTTGTCCTTGTTGATCAATAAACATATTTTGTTGTAACGTACGCTTTTAATTTATTATAGTTTGCAAAGCATGTTTCTCATTTTGATTTTATTGTTGTTTTCTTTTCTCTTTTCAAATGAAGTTTGTTGAAGTAAACAATGTTATGGTAAAGAATAATTAGCATTGATAACATCATTAATAAATGTGTCAACATACAGGGATTTTCAACATAACTACTCGGAAAAATAACAACAACCAAAAACTTCATATCTTGGGGTTAGGTTTTTGAGTTCCTACAAAAAATAAGGCTCTAATAATTGCTAAAATGTTTTATAAATATTGGAAAAAGATTATTTTATTAACTAGTTAGAGGCATTAAAAAAGGATTTTAACGTACAATAATAATTAGCAGTAATCAAAAGCCTTTACACTTTTATCCTGAAAAAAAATATTTTTTGGTTGAATAACGCTTGTGACACAGGCTTGATAACTGTACGAATACTTTAAAGTTTTTTTTTCACGAAAACTAATGGATAAATAAATGGAATCCTGAGTTGATATGGCTTAAAACAGTTAAAAAAACTACATTAATTTTGAACACTATGGAAAGACGACGTAAGATCGCCACTTAAAATGAATACATTAAAATTCAAATTCAGTCAAGTTTCGGTCTTAACCCACAGATGGTTACCATTCAAATCGACCTGAACCGACGCTAAAAACGCGGCAAGAGCTTCGCGAAGTGAAGCTGAAGGCAAAGGAACAAGAGCTAAAAAAAGAAAAAAGGGTGAGCTTCGTCTCAAAAGAGCGCTGTTTTTGGAGAAAATAAGAGCTCCAGAGTTTGCAATTGTTTTTAACTCGGTTTTGCCCTCCCAGACCAAAGATTTATGTACCGAACGCTGGTTTCTGCTTCTAAAATTTTGTTTTTTATACTTTTACTTAAGCCTTGATTTTAATATACAGTCAGTAAGAAAGGTTTTTTACTGCCGAGTGGTCACATTTATATATTTTTCGATTGTTTGTTTGTTTACGAAAACTGTACTCTTGGTTGTATACAAAAGTGCAAGTCAGTAGTATACAAAATTAGAGCTGCCTGCACATTCAATGTTTAATTACCGTTCTTCTGTTTTGGAGCTGAACCTTGCTGTCTATAGCACTTGTTGGCACGCATTACTCTTGTTTCCTTCTTATTTTGAATAATATTGTGTTTACCACTAAATGGTGTGAAGCCTTCAAAAAGGTTGTCTATCTTGGTTTTTTTCCTTCATGAACTATCCATAGTTGATAACTTTGGAATCGAGTAATGGCGTTACGTTGAAGGTTCTGCATTCAGTTTATATTGTTTTAGAAATGGCAAAACAAGCTTTGCACACTATCTATGAGATTAAAAAAATCGTGGATGGACCAAAAGTTGTGGAAGACACTAAGGGGAAGAAAGTAAAAATGTACAAGGTCAGGTGGCAGTAAGTATTATCAGGTTACTTATTTATATTTAGATGGTAAACAATTATATAATGATGCTTATTATTAAAATTAATTACTAACAAGTTGTTTGTATGACTCCAAATATGTGTCAGTAAGCCATACATAACAATATGTGGTCATGACAATGACTAATAACTTTGGTCAGATAAGAATAATAACACGTTTAGTTGACTTACATCATCGGCAAAACATTTATCACTTACACAACTTCATTTTAGAGACACCTTTGAACCAGAATGTAATTTGCCAAAAAGAGAGATTCAGATATATCGGTCAAAAAGGAAGGTTGGTGCAGTTACCATTCGTTTACAGTTTTTTTATTTGAAAATTTATTTTGAAAAACCAAATTCAACAAGCTTTATAAAAATTTTTTATTTTAGCGAAAAATTAAAATCATTGGCCCAGTACCATCGGATGGGTACACTAGTGGAAGTTTAAAGAATATGAATTTTGCAGTTGAATAGTAAGTACAAGTTTAGATTATTGTCATACTCAGTTGTTAAATCTATTTTATGTTTTTGTTATTTTTCAACATAACTATGGCTATTTAAGATGTATATGATACCGATTTTAGCGATGACAACGTTTACATTCATCCTTACAAAAAACTAAAAGCCGACTACAAAGACGAGTTGATCGAGTTTTTTGAAAAATGTTCGCGAGCAGAGGAAGCAGACTCTGCCTTTACCAGATGTTCTTCAAGTTCATAATAACGTTGGTCGTATGTACATAGTAACTTTATTGCAATCATTTTATTCTAAGTGGTCGATCATCAACATATTCATCAGTACAATAACGAATCAGGTGTGTTCTTGTTTGTAAATGTTTGTCTTTCATTTTTATCGTTTTTTGCATTGAAACGCCTCATTTTTGTAAATTGCATTCTAATACTACTGCTCTCTAACAATAATTTATTATACCGGCTTGTCGATTGTTGCCATACGTCAGGGTACCTTTTTTATTATTAATTCAAATTTAATGTCATTATGAAAAGCTTTACACTTTAAAATGTCACAAAACCCAAATTTTCATTCCGTATACTTTCATGTTACTTATGACATTCGCTAAAGTAATAAATATGATTCATTATTTGATTTTACAATGCATTTAATGTTCAAAGTTTAGTATTTATAACAACATAAGCAAAATTTGTTAAAGAAAGTTTATTATCTAAAACCATTAGCATTAGTTTTTTAAATTCTACAAGTTAATAAGATACAATCTTAAAGTATTGTAAGCGTAAACTGCGATTAGTAGTAAGTCTCGCGTTCGACCCATCCACCTGGATAGCGGCGAATCAAGTAACGGCGGACTTCATCGTAGATGAAGATGACGATGGAGAATGGAAGAGCTGGGAACCACCAGCTGAAGCGAAGACCATACATACGAAGACCACGGTCCAATCCAGGGCAGTAGCACAAGAAGGCGGCCAAAGCGGTTTCGAAGACAAGACCGAAGTTCATGGTCCAGTTGGACATGCCTTGTTGGACGAGAGAATTACGACGAGTCTTGGAAACGATCAGGTCGGCCCATTGGACAATGACGATGGCGACGAAATAAGCGGTCTGGCAAGTGTACTCAAGGATCTTACGGTCTTTGTAAGCCTAAAAGGTTGGTCATAAAACTGTGTAAATTAATTAAAGGATAGTGTCCTCTACTACATACATTATAGATATATTTTAGGTAATTTTAAAGTGAAACTCTTACCCATTCTTGTCCATAACTGTCTTGAACATTGTTAACGGCCATGGAATCCCATTCGGAACGGAGTTGGTACAGTCTAGAAGGCATGAAACCGTTGTCGGCCATGATCCAGAAGTAGGTGAAGAATCCGGCAGAAGCCTGGATCATACCAATTTGACCGTAAGCAAGCGAGATCAGACGTTCGTTGACAAGTTTGTCGTGAGCTGGGTCACGAGGACGACGCTTCATGATGTCGGATTCGGCTTCTTCGTAGGCGAGAGAGATGGCTGGTACCATGTCAGTTCCCAAGTCAATACACAAGATGGTGATGGTTCCGAGAGGAAGAGGGATACCGAAGAGAATGTAGGTCAAGAAGGGCGAGATCTCAGGAATGTTGGAGGTCAGGGTGTAAGCGATTGACTTCTTCAAGTTGTCGAAGATCAACCGACCTTCTTCCACACCAACGACGATAGAGGCGAAGTTGTCATCAAGCAAAATCATGTCGGCGGCTTGTTTGGAGACATCAGATCCAGTGATACCCATAGCAACACCAATGTCAGCTGAAATTTACGCAATTTATTTAAAGCTAGCATTATTTTTAAAAGTATAGGTGTCGCAAAAAGCATGGCTTTATTAATGTAAATTTTTGTAACTCACCCTTCTTCAAAGCTGGAGAATCGTTGACACCATCACCAGTTACAGCGACAATTTGGCCTTGGCGTTGGAAACCTTCAACGATCATCAACTTCTGTTGTGGAGAAGTACGGGCAAAGACGATTTCGTTGTGATGGCTGATGAACTCGTCCAATTGGTCAGAAGTCATCTCACGCAGATCGGATCCGTGCAAAACGGCGGCTCTTGCTTCAGTTGGGTTGACTTCTTCGACCGGGATTCCCTTACGCATCGCAATGTCTTCGATGGTCTCAGCTCCTTCGGTGATGATACCGACGGACTTGGCAATGGCTTTGGCGGTAATTGGGTGATCACCAGTGACCATGACGACCTTGATACCGGCAGAACGGCACTTGGCAACAGCGTCTGGTACGGCGGCACGAGGAGGATCAATCATAGACATAAGACCGACGAACCTCAGTCCAGTGATGGGGAAGTTGACGTCTTCAACATCAAACTTAAAGCCCTTGGGGAACTTCTCGGTGTCCAATCTGAAGTCGCAGAATCCGAGTACACGTTCTCCAAGACCTCCCAAGTCGAGGTAGGCGTCGTTGAAGTGGTGACGTAGATGTTGGTCAAGAGGTTTCTCTTCGCCCTTCAACAAGATGGTCGAGCAACGGTCCAGGATTCTCTCTGGAGCTCCCTTCATGACCAAAAGGTATCCTGGGTGTCCATCATCAGCCTCGTGGATGGAGACTTGGAACTTGTTGGTGGAGTTGAATGGAATTTCAGCAATCTTGGGGTTCTTCTGTCTGTATTGCATGATGTTTCCAATTTGGAGTTCAGAGAACTTCAACAAGGCGATCTCAGAAGCGTCGCCCGTACAGTCACGACGAAGGATTGGGACGTCAGTTTGGCCAGACTTGAATTCAGCACGGTTACAGAGAGCGGCGATTCTAAGAAGGGCCTTCTCGGTTTCTCCACGTTGCTTCTCTTCTCCTCCGACGTAGTTCTCGGTGGTGTCACAGTTGGCGATGGTTTGGTCGAACCAGGTGTGGGCGACAGTCATGCGGTTTTGAGTAAGAGTACCAGTCTTATCAGAGCAAATGGTAGAGGTAGAGCCCAAAGTTTCGACGGCTTCCAAGTTCTTGACCAAACAGTTCTTTGAGGCCATACGCTTGGCGGTAAGGGTCAAACATACAGTCACAGTGGCAATAAGACCTAAAATATCCCAGATACAATTTTTTGTATAATGCTGTTTGAAGAAGGCAAAGAAACAAAAAAAAACTGTTCAATTTAGTGTTCAAATAATGCGGTTGTTTAAAAAGGTGAAAAAATTACCTTCTGGTACGTTGGCGACAATGATACCGATCAAAAACACGACAGCAGTCAGCCAGTGGTATCCCAAAGCAAAAGCGATGATGAAGAAGGTAACACCCAAGAACACAGCTACTCCAGTAATCAAGTGAATGAAATGTTCAATTTCACGAGCAATTGGAGTCATTCCAGAGTCCAAATCGGCAGCCAAGTGAGCAATACGACCCATAACGGTACGGTCACCAGTGTAGATAACCACACCCTTGGCGGTTCCTTCAACAGCGTTGGTGGAAAAGAAGGCAATGTTCTTAGTCTCGAGAGGGTTCTCGTTAGTGCATTCGGGAGATCGGGATTGAGGTTCGGATTCACCAGTCAACGAAGCGTTGTCGACCTTGAAGCCCATAGCGTGGACGACACGGATATCGGCAGGGACACGGTCACCACCGCGAACTTCAACGACATCACCGACCACCAACTTCTCAGTTGCTACTTGGACTTTTTCTCCGTTGCGGTACACCAAAGCGAACTAAAACACATTTTTTTTAAATTTTAAAATTGCAAATCTAGGTTGTGTTACGATTAGTATATTAGTTGAAGAGTAAACTTACTGTTGGTACCATAGACTTGAAGGATTCCATAATTTTAGAAGATTTGCTCTCTTGATAGTACTGGAAACAACCGGTGATGATTACGACACTCATCAGTACAATACCCAAATACAAGTTATCGTACGCGGGATGCTCCATACTGAAGTAATCCACGGTGAAGGCGATGTAACACAAGATGGCACCGATCCACAAAAGCATAGCGAAACCTCCGAACAAGTTTTTACAGAACTTGATCCATTCTGGAGTTGTCTTTGGTGGCGACAAGGCATTGAGACCATCACGGGCAAGGACTTCCTCTGCTTTGGCAGTGGTGAGACCCTGAAGATGTTAGTTATTTTACATCTTTTAACAATATACAATTTTATAAAAAAATTACGACAATATACACTGTAAACCATCTTACATTCTCGAGATCAGTACCAAGACGAGACACCAACTGGTCGATGGGGATCTGATGCTCGTCCATCTTCACCTCCTGCTTGAGGTCATCAAGCTCTCCTTTTTTGTTCTTGGCCATTTTGCGGCGCTGCTGTTATTTAGAAGCTCGCCGGTCAATACCTAAAATCTTACGATTAATTTACATTATTAATGGCACGCAGCGGTATAAATTGTAAAACAACAACTGTAACATTTAAATACTAGCTTGTATAAAACGTTAAAAATAATTAACAATAAGACTAACATTAGGCCTTTTTTACTAGAGGAAACCATTAATTTTTAAATGTAAACCCAAATTTAGGTAACATTTGTAATTTAGGTAACAAACTTTTAAAAAATAAAAACTATAGAAACGTTGTAAAAGGCCTGTCACAAAGATTCATATCGCCAGACTCAAAATAACCTTTCATTTTAAATTGGTCCGCTTCAGAAGTCACACAACAAATAATAACAGCGGCAAATAACTTTAGTTCTCAGAACAAACAACCCATAACAGAACTGATTAATATTTAACGTGAAATAAGCCTAAAACGGCCTCATGGACTAGAAAATACACGACAACGTTAGACAAATTGTTGTTTTAGCAGCCAATTTAGAAATTATTAATCGAAAAGGCGTGTCAACGTTACAAATTTGTTCTGGCGGGTTATAAAACCCCGCAAACCTAAGGCACTGGGTAAATATTGTTGTTGGGCCTCTGATAAAAGAGAAACGGGCCCAATGGAACGAACGGGGTTTGAGAGAATTAGAGAAGGTTGAGCCAAAGCCTCTTCGTTTTGTTTACTCTTTTCATTCTGGGATCTGTAGCCGGCTTCAGGACGGAAATTGTATGCAAAAGTTTTCGATTAAATCCGGGAGACCGAGTGTTCCTAAAATAAGGCGAAGAACATAGGAAATCTATAAAATAAGTCAACAACTCTGTAAGTTTGGCAATAAGTTACAAAAATTCTATAAAATATGACAAAATTTCGGAAAATCTGTCAAATGAGACGAATGTCAAAAGAAATAAATAAAATACGGTTCGGGAACAAAATTGTCTGGAAAAATATTAATTTAGAGGACGTTCGAGATCTCTTTTAGGCCGAGAAACAGTTGCCATGAGGAAAGTGTGACGTAAAACGGGTGCAAATTGGATTGTTTCGTCATTCTGTTCCGGTCAAAAAGTAAGTAGACTTTTTTATTTTAAAATCTCAAGGAACGTTCCTTCCCTATTTTAGGTTTCTTATTATAAGCTTTCACCAATTTATTATAGTTTATGTAAATTTATCTTAAAGTATATTATTAGTTAACTAAAAATAGCCAAAACTAAAGGAGAATGAGTCTTCCCGTATTATTCATTAGAGCCCACTCGGCTGGCAGGAAACAAAATAGCATTAGGTTTTAATCTTTACACAAGGAGTGAACAGACGATAAGGTGACATAAACTGAAGAAGAAGAAGACAGTAATAGACTTGAAGGCAGTCAGGGAAACATTTGGAGGTCTTGCAATAATACCTTTTAACTATAGTTTAAAAAGACATTCGAAAGTTATTTTCTTACCCAAACTGTGAAAGTTGTGAAAGGTAATTATAGTTCTAGTGGTCGGTAATGAAAAGTTATCACTTTGAGTCTACTCTAATATAAACCTAAAGATATTATCTTGAATCGGTGACATCTAAAATGAAAAATGTCCACAATACCAACCAAATGCGAAAAAACAGATAAGATTGCGTTTTGGAGACGAATTTTGCCCCGACGGCCTCGCCAGTCAAAGGAAAACTGAAAACGGGGACTTGAAAATGTAAAGAAACAAGTCGGGGCAGCCGGGGAACGAAGCGGGAAGCCCGCATTCCGAAGGTATTAGGACAGCGGTGGCTGGGCCGTCTCGATCTATGGGAACATCTTCGTTTCGAAGTGTCTTTTGTGACCCGAGTTGGAGATCAGCCTCAACGTGGCCCCAACCTTTTGTCCCAGCGATTGGCAGAACTAACAGAAATGTACCCAAAAGTCAGTTGAATACAAAAATCGCGATAAAATTTCAGTTCTAAAAAGTCAGTTAAAATGAAAATTAAATGATTGTTGTTGTGTTACCCAATCATAGCATACGTGCTGTTTTAATTTGGTATACAGTCTCATTTCGCTTTGAAAAATTACCAAATTAGCGCTCAAGTTTGAATATTGACATTATGTGCAAACACTAGTTTCGACGGCTCAGTTTCCTCAATTTTTGATAAATTAAAGTTCTTAAGATCAAGGCTTTGTGACTGCCGTAAGCGGGCCACAAACCTTATCATCAGTTTAAACATTATACATAGATTTATAAGATCTTTGGCAATTACAATTACCTTACATTAACTTCATGATTACCAAAATTTATTTAGAAATCAGCGTCGCAATATACATAACCTCATATTGACAATATGCTAAGTGAAGGGAAAGTTACAAAGTGCGCGAAATTTCAAAATGATGTGTCTATCTCTGAGCAACTTGGCGATAAAAGACCTTGAACACTACCTTTACAATTCTAGACGAAAAAAATAAATTAAAAACGTTTAGACAAACCTTATAGTACCTCTACAATATATTATCACACCCTAATTACAAACTGCTAACTCTCGAGATCGTGTCATAAGTCTGGCCGCCACAATTTGACTGTTTCATCAGCGGCCGAAGCGATGAGGCCATTATAACTGGCCAGCTCGTTGATCGTCGACTGATGAGCTCCATCGTGCTTGTCCAGCATTCTGAAGGACGACGTATTCTCAGTAGACCATAGTCTGATGGCACCCGAGTAGTCACCAGTAGCGAACAGCTGACCGTTGCCATTGTAACCCTTTACGGCACACATATCACCAACAGATGTTCCGTCGTGGATGGTGGATACTGTACGATCTCGGGTCAAGTCGCCCATTTTGAAGCTCCAGAAATCCTAAAAATAATATTACATTACAAAATTAATGCCCATTAACTCGAAATATTAGTAATCTTGGGAAAAAAGGATCAATACTATAAGTACATCATGTAGTATCATACTTACTCCATGTTTCGAAGCAGCATATAATGTGTCATCGACCACTTGCAACTTGATAATACGATTATGCATTTGTGGCATCAAGTCGATTGGATCATATTGTTTCGTCGCAAAGGCTTCATCGATTTGGTTGGCTATTATATTACCCTCAGTGTCACCAACTAGAATATATGAAGTCCCATTACGAGAATATGGCACCATTTCATTAGGATTCCGGCTGAAACAAAAAAATTAATAAAATTGAAAAACAATCAATCCATAGTAAAAAGTTAGACAGTGATCCGAATTATAAAAAGTACTAGCGACTAAAAAATTAACAATAAATTTACTTTCTGTTCAGGTCAGAGTAAAACTGTAAGCATCGTTGAGTACGCAAGTCCCATACACGAGCTCCTTCATTGTATGATGTGGTCATGTAGTTACCACAGTCACTTATCCCAATTGGGTTTATTTCTGCTTCGCCCCCAGGGATTTTAGCTGGAATCGTGAATCCACCAGATCCGCTTACTCCAGATGAGTTGATATGTGATGCTACTGTGTTCGATCGGACGTCCCACACTTGTATGGTGAAGGCAGCACTACAGAGTACAAGGTCAGGATTATTGGGGACAAAGCGACAGTTTCCCATCGGCCTGGGGAAGTTACGAAGAACAATAATAGCACACATTGTTTCCAAGTCAAAGTAGTTGAACACACGTTCTGGAAAGAAACTTCACATAAAGAACCTTTAAAAATTTATTACCTTTACCAGCCATCGTACATTAGAGAAATAACAACAACAAAGTTGGCCGCTTACCTTTGCTAGCTGAAACTCCATGAGTGTCTTTCAAATCCACTGAAAGTACTGTCTTGTTGTGACCTGTAAACACTCCAATGTTGGTCAATTTACTAGTGTTCTGGGCGTAGGCGATTTCCATAGTATTGTCTGACGAAGAAGACTCCTCTTGTTCTTCCGGAATAACTACAAATTTATGTTAAAATACTGTATACAGCGAACTTAATGAGAAACTAAAATATTAAAGATACATAAAATTATAGGTATGAAGCAATGTAAAGGATACCATTTCTATAATAATAGCTATCGTAAAAAGTGTAACAAAACACAGAAAAAGAAAAGTTCGAAACAAAAACAATCTTAACTACCTTGATTTGGAAGAACCTGGAAAGTCTGGTTTTCATCGGCATACAACAATTCATCCGTCGTCTGAGTTCGTCTCCTGGCCTTGAGTGACATCCTCCCAACTAAACACAACATAAACAACACAAAGAAAACTTATAAAGCCAGGTTAACATTAGGCACATTACCAGTCACAAGCGATCGTACAAAAATGTTTTACCTACTTATATTAAAACAAAAACTATTAATAGGCAAACGTTATAACTTGTCAATCTACATAACTCGTAAGATATGAGTAAAAACCTACCAGAAGCTCGCTTAGGTGTTGCGTATGGATCCGACCCAAGATCTCGTTCCAAGTCTTCCTGGCATCTGGTCTGCGACAGTATGAAGCTATTCATGAATCTGTCACTTTCCATTTTTCCTGTCTCAAGCTCATTCAGTTTGGCTTCCATCTCCTGAAACAATAGGTTAAGTGCAACAATTATATCACCGTAATTTACATTGGAAGAGAATACATACCTTTTGCTTGACCTTCATCTTTTCCCATTCAGATGATGTTGTGATAGCCAGAGACACGACCTGATCCAGCAAGAACTTGGCTTCGTGTATGTTGTCGCACTTCTGAATGATTCCTTGCATCGTAGTCTGATCGTCGACACCATTCTCTTTGTTGACACCCTCCAATTCGGCCATAGAAGAACGAATATCGTTGATCTGAGACACCACGTACTTCAAGTGTTCGTGAGCAGAGTTGGCTTCTTCTTGAATAGCTTCACGGTCATCAACGTTCTTGGTCTTCATGAATCGAGCATCCTGTAAAACACATTTTACCAAATTTACACTTTTTGAATATAAACCTTTACTATTATAATTTTTTAAAATGAATGTTAACTTACAACCTCCTTGATTTGTTTCTCTAACTCCAACTTTTCGTTCAATAACCTCACGTATTGCTCGTCCATCTTGACTAAACTGGCATGTTGACCAACGATGGCATTGATCCTCGACTCCAACTGCTTCCACTTACTCTTGGCCTTCAATGGAGAGAACGGTTTCCTGGAAGCGGCATTGAATCTTCTATCGGTAGTCAACGGAGTACGCTGCTTAGAGGTCAAAGTGCTCATCTGCTCCATCTTCCTACGCAAGAACTCTTCACGTTGACGATCGCGAGTCTCCAGAGTTCTTAGCTTGTTCTCCTTGACTCTGTTCGCCTTCTCCATCGCTGCGATCTTCTTGGCGGCTTCAGCTTCAGCACGTTTGACTCGCTTGGCTTCTTCTCTCATTTGCTGCACCAACTTGACCTTGCTGCGTTTCAAGTCCTGAATCTCATTCCGGGTGCGTTCCAGATCTCTTTGTTGCTGCTCCTGTCGTTGTCTCAGTCGTTCATGTTCACGTTGTGCCATCTTAAGCTTACTGAATTCGCCTTTCATGGAGCTTAATCGTTGCTCGTAGTCCTTTTTGACTTCCTGAACTTTGGCTTCTGAAACCTTGTTTCCTGGTTTTTTGGACATCTCCATCAGAATCTTGTCGCGTTCAGCTTCAGTTGCCGTAATACGATCAGACAACTCGTTCAGTTTCCGTTCGTAATCTTTCCGAACTTGGGTCAACTTCTTCTCCGCCAGTTCCAACTCTCTGATAAGCTTTTCTTTCGTACCTATTTCGTTCTGGAGTTCGGCAACTTCATAACATAATTTAGCGTGAGTTTCACGTCCTTCAATGACTTCGCCATCCAAAGCTTCGACTTCATCGTTTACATCATCTTCTTCGGGAGTTGAACCCCTTTCGTAGTCCATGGGTTCGTCTTCAGGCGATTCCATAGAGTCGATCGACATACCTTCTTTCTCTGCACGTTCTTTGTAAACTGAAAATTATAATATGAGATCATAAAAAATTAAAAATCCTCAATATAGTGTTAATAAAATTGTTTACAAAACTCACTTTCCAGCAACTTCTTCTGATCCTCAACTTCCTTTCTCGCCGATGTAATAAGCTGACTCTCAACCATAGGACTATACGGAGCTGAAGATTCAAATGACGTCTGATGAATATCTCCATCCATGAATCGTCGCTTCAAAGTCTCTAACTTCTTACGGTACTCTTCCTTCTCGCTTGACTCATCACACAGCTTGGACTTCAACTGCTCAATTTCAGCAACATATGTTTCGATAATGGTGGACAAGGCAGACTCAAACTGATTCTGCTCCACTTCATTAATAGTACCATCATCGTTCACTTTTGGAGCCATCTTCATCAAATTGGCCTTATCGAGTTGTTCCTTCATTCTGGTTACTCGTTCCGTCAACACATTGTTCGAGTCTTGGAGGGCTTGAGCTCGGACTGTAACACGTTGGAGCTCGTTTTGGAGTTGGACGTTCTCGTAGTACTGGTCAGAAATGCCGTTTTCATCCGCGTCACCTCCAGCCACTCTTTTACCCTAACAGCAACTTTATAAATAGTTTAGTAAACTTCAGTTAAAATATTAATACTTGTTGACAATGAATAGTTTTATCATATAATTGTAACAGAAAAGTTAACTTACAGATCGATACTCGTTTAATTCATTCTCCAAGGCCACAATCTTAGCCCTGAGTTGTGTTACCATAGCTGACCCATGGTCCTTGTTGGCAACAACCTTGTTCTTGATTGCCTTGGTCCTTGAAGCATAGTTTAACGTATTTAAAGTTTCAGCGAAATCGACGTCGTTTGGAGAGGCACAAGCAACCATCAATGTCCTTGAATTCCCACCTAGTGAATCCTGGAGAAGCCGAGTCAACTTTGAATCTCTGTAAGGAACGTGTCCTTTCTTTGGGTTAGTTAACGCATTGATAACATTTCCCAATGCCAACTGAAACCAATAAGTCAATAAAAAAAGTAAATACAATAACAAATAAAGACAAATAACAATTATAAACACATACCAAACCACAATTAATGCAGATTCCTTCCTTGGCCCTTTCTCCAGTAGCTCCAGTCCTCTTGAGTCTCTCTGATCCAGCTAAATCCACAAAATGAAGCTTGGCAGATATGACACTAGCCAGCTTTTCCTCGCCCTGTTCGGTAATCACTGTCTGCAAATAATCAATTGTAGAAATTTAAAAGATTATTTAAAAAACATTAAAACAACTTTTTAAATAAAACTTACCTCCAAACAATCTTGTTGAACATGAACACTGAAGATAGCATGCGACCTAGAAGATTCCTTGTTCATATTGGTTGCCGCCACTTTTCGATTTAACGCACCATTCCGTAAGATGTCCAATATTCCCATTGGAGTGCTGGTCTGCATCGTTGTAGCGTTTTGTAGAACAATCTGACCAGATTCACGATCTTCATGTATCTTGACGCCAGTGTGACGATCAGGAGACAACAAATCGATCAGATCCTCATTATATAACTAAAAAAGGCATTCTTATGATAAAAACAGTAAAGTAAAATAAAAACAAACATAATTTATAAAAAAAAACGTAAATCACCTATTCAAACTGTATACCTTACTTACCTCAATAAATTGAACTCTCACAACAAACGATGGTTCTGGTTCCCCGGCATCGCTAGCTCGTTGTCGTCTGTTTTCCATTCCATCAAACAGTTGCTGGGCAGCACGTGGAATTACTCCAGCCAAGTCAGAAGTCGGTGAAGAAGCTGCGGCATCAAAAGCTGTACCCATAGTATGAGTTTTGCCACTCCCGGTCTAAACATAATAACTTAGCGTTTAAACTTAAAGAACTTCCATAAATTTCCCAAACTCCCTTTTCCCATTCTTCTCCTTGTGTAACCTAAATTGACAAAAGATAAGTAAAAGCTCTTACCTGGCCATAAGCCAATATCGTGGCATTGTATCCTTTAAATACACCTTCCACAAGATCCTTGATACATGCATTGTAAACGGATTCCTGAGTCGAATTTCTATCAAAAACAAAATCGTACGTAAAGGACTTGTCATTTCCCATGAAGATCTGAGGCTCGTTCATCGATACCGTCGTGCAAATTTGGTAGCCAGCCGCCGTTTCTCGGCCATTTTGAGGCCGAACACTAAAATAAACATATTAGACGACCCATTAGTACAAAGTAAGGTATTATTCTGTACACTTAATATTTTTAATTAGTATATTTTAATTAGTAAAATAAATTTTTCAAGATCCGTTTTCTTTTTTATTAAAAAACTAACGAATCAATGTAATAATAGTTACTATAAAATAACGCAAAAGTTTTAAAAATTCAAAATTAGCTTACCGGATGGCTACTCGAACCCCCGTCGAGTCACCCATGTTGATTTACTCTGTAAAATAATTTGTAAAATGCGAGAATAAAATTTTCAAGTAATTTAACCGCGATCTGCGCCCGAATCGAGTCGAAAACGAAAAATGCGCCTTTCTTACTTGACATTGTTTTCGCATTGAAACCGAAAGGCCAGGAGAGGAAGCTCTTCAGTTATACAAAATTTTGTCAAACCTTTCCTTGTCAAGAGAAGCTAGCAGAAGGTATCTAATGTTCAGATTAAAGGATATTCTAATTTGGATCAGGAGATATTCCGATGAATAACAAGGTAAAACGAGTATTTGAGAAGGCTTTATTGGATTTGTTGTTTGATATAACTGGTTTCTGAATAATTAAACAAACGAATTGATTATACATTACGGTTGACATAGTGAACAATTTTACAAATAGTGAGCAAACAAAAGAAACACTATGTTAAGGTACGTGTGAGGTGAAAGAGTAAGATTTCGAAACCAGAATGAGTAACTTGAGCAAAACCGTGTTAGTAACAATGAAGACTATAGTAGTATGATGAAAATTAATATTAAAATAGGTAACAAATGAACGTTTAAAACGTTTTAGTTTGCACTTTTAAATGCAGATTAATTAAAACGCCTTTGGCTCTTCACATTTTTTGGATAATTTTTAGAAATCGGAACAGAACGGTGAAACACCGGACGTTCCTTTTCTCCCGGACCTCCGAAATACGTTGAATGGAGGGTATTGGAAGGGGCTTTTGTCGCATAAAACAGCTTGGTTTACAGGATAATTGGATGCAAAATGCAGGTGCATAAAAGGTGTTATTCAGATGCCCTCGGGGAATGCTGCTTTGGAAAAAAATGTCATTTACGTTTTACGAAAAGTAGGTTGGAACTGGACCAAAAATATTTTCTTTTTGAGAATTCTTTCTGAAATCTTTAATAACATTCTATTTTGGTCAAAATATTTGAACTAAAACAAGTTCATACTGTAAAAAAGAATGACCTGTACAAACATAACACTTGTCAAACCAAACAATCACTTTCCCAGCGATAACGTGGAGATTGACTGACATTCGGGGCTGACCTTGAGGTTAACAGTCCGATTAAAAGTATTATAGTAGAGTTTAAAGCGATTACATTCATTATGATTATTAATCAATCATCTTAACCTAAATGTGTGTTTTTGAAAAAGATGTGCAGTAAATACGTGAGAAACTGTATGATTTACATTTGAATGCTGTCGGTCAAAAAGTAAGCAGAAAAACGGTCAAGAAGACTAAAAAGATAATAAAATATAAAAAAAGTTATCAGTCATGTACAAAAAGAGTTAATGAAGGTTTCTTGACTAGACTTGTATCATTGAACGAGAAATGTTTACTGAGTATGTATAATACTTTTTATTGTGTACACAATGGATATCTTTGTTCTCTTCCATTTTTAGTAGAATAACTGAGTAAGCCTATCTGTGAATCCAACACTCACTGCCAGATGGAGTTAGTTTTTTTACTTTTTATAAAAAGAAATGTCACAAAATTGACACAAAAACGATAAAGAGCTAGTTTCATTCATAAGAATATTTTCTAAAAAATATAAAAATGTAATTTTAATAAATTATGCAAATTTGTATTCAAATACTTGTTTTATGAACTAAGAAGTTGAGAATGACACTTCATTTTGTACACTCTGAACGAAGTTCTAGTGGGAGTTATTACCTGTTCGAATTTACTGTTCCAACATGGCTATCCCTGAAGGAAAGATGGAATGGAAGGAGGATCATGTAGTCGACGACCGAGGCTCACACAAGTTTAGAGATGTCGCGTAGGTTTGCTTTTGACATTTGGTTATCTTATTTGTTTGAAAATCATACTTTTTTTACTTAGTCATTACTTAAAAGTACCGTATGTTGTTATAGGCCTCCAACGAAGAGAATATGTGAGTCCGTCTTGGACACTATTGGTCGTACTCCAACAGTACGATTACAAAAGATTGCCAAAGAGTACGGTTTGGAGTGTGAGCTTTGTGAGTTTTTTAAAAAATGGCTTGATGAAGTATGACTACCGGAAAGGTTCAGTTTATTCCTACTGTGTAACTTTGAAACATGTTTTAGATGCCAAGTGTGAATTCCTGAGCGGTGGTGGTACCACTAAAGATCGGGTATCTTTGCGTATGATACAACTAGCTGAAGAGTCAGGCCAACTCAATGAAGGCACCACGATCATTGAACCTTCGACTGGTATGTCACGATCATCTTATTTTACCATGTTAGTTGTTGTTCGTTTTTCTATCAAGAAATTAATTTTACAGGAAATACGGCCATCAGTACAGCCTTGGCATTGGCTCCGAGAGGCTACAAAATGATCACGGTGATGCCAGATGACGAATGCAAGTCTCGAGAAGACATGTTGAAGTGTTTGGGATCAGACATAGTCAAAGTCGGCAACGACGTCTCTCCTGATTCTCCAGAAGGCTTTGTCGGAAAAGCCTACGAGTTGGCTAAAACCATTCCTAATTCTATTGTTTTGTGGCCAGTAAGTTTAACCATCATGGTTTTTAATTGCTTTACAAAAGGTTGGTATTACTAATCTAAAAAATAACATAATACTACCACTTTACTAACTACATCGTACGATTTCAGCACCGTGACTGCGCCAACCCGCTGGCCCATTACGAGAACACTGCTCCAGGCATTATTAGAGCACTTGGCAACTCGGTAGACAAGGTCGTTATCTCTTTGAATTCTGGAGGTACAGCTGTCGGAGTATCGAAGCGACTAAAGAAAGAGATACCTAATGTCAAGATTGTCGCTGCCAAAGTGGAACCAGGATACTCAGTCGACCTTCTGAGTTCTATTTCCTACGCCGAAGCTGTTGACGAAACTGTAAGGTGTTACAGTAACATGTGTTTTGTAATGCTCGTCTAACTAATATTATTGACAGAATACGTCTTACAGTTGTGTATCACTAATGTATTAACTTAACCATATTTTTGTGTTTGCTAGGTTACCGTGGAAAAGGCAGCTTCAATCAAATTGATGCAAGACCTCCATCGCTTGGAAGGTATCCTCTGTGGCCAAAAAGGAGGTGTAGTTATGGCCGCAGCTCTGAAAGCCGCAAAACCACTAAAACAAGGTCAGAAGTGCTTGCTGATTCTTCCAGAAGGCCTAACTCACTTTTCTCAGACTAATGTCAACAGCAATACTGTAGTGGTCCCCCCTCCTGATGGAAGTGTAGCAGAGTATGTATAGCTTTTGTAGCAACAGTTTTTATCGTTAAATGTATTTTAAAACCTTTTTTGGTATCTTATCATGAAATTATAGGCCGTCCAAACCTCCGGTAAACGAATGGCAGAAGATACCAGTGCCTTGGAATGCGACCAGAGTCGCTAAGAAAGTACTTTGTGACTCGATTCTCGATGCTATTGGTAATACGCCTCTGATCAAACTCAAGAAGATACCAAAGAAGGATGGTATAAACGCTGAACTTTGTAAGTTCTACCAACAAGACCAATTCTTTTATATTTCATACTTACAACAGTCTCTGCTGTAAGTAAAATGGACTTTACAGTAGTAAAATATAATTTTTGTCACAACTTTCAGTAGTCAAGTGTGAATACATGAACCCAGGAGGGTCGATCAAAGACAGAACAGCCCTCAAAATGGTGGAAATGGCAGAGAAACAAGGGATTCTGAAGCCAGGAATGACCATCATCGAACCGAGCGCTGGCAACATGGGTATCTCGCTAGCTCTTGTCGCTGCCGTCAAAGGCTACAAATGCATCAATGTGATCACGGACAAACAAAGCAAAGAGAAGGAGCTGGTGATGAAGAGTCTTGGCGCTTCTGTAGTCACGACTCCATGGGACGTACCGTACACTGATGAAAGCTCCAACCATTCAGTGGCTTTGAGGATCCAGAAGGCAACTCCAGATTCTGTTATCTTGGATCATGTAAGTTGAGGGAGCTGTAATGTCCAATAAGATTTAACTATTTGTATGTTCATTGTCTCGCATCTTCAGTACCGTAATGATGCCAACCCTTTTTCTCACTACGAAGGAATCGGAATCGAGTTATTCGAAAACTGTGAAGAACAGATTGATGCTATTGTAATTGGTGCTGGTACTGGTGGTACCCTAACTGGAGTTGCTAAAAGAATCCGCGAGGATCTGCCAAATTGTATGGTAAGTACATTCTACCATCTTATGATACGTTTAAAGAGTAGATTACATACTTTTAACAAACCACATTGTATTTTAATTAGTATTTGATATAAAAGCTAATCCTTCATTTACAGATTTATGGTGTAGATCCAGTCGGTTCAGTGTTGGCTGAATTAGCACCAAGAGGACAATACCTGGTGGAAGGCATCGGCCAAGACTTTATACCGGCCGTGATGAAGAACAAGATGATCGACGGATGGATCACAGTAAAAGACAACGACGCTTTCATAATGGCTCGCCGTCTGATGAAGGAAGAAGGCCTTCTGGCTGGCGGATCTTCTGGAGCCAATGTTTGGGCCGCCTTAAGTGTGGCCAAGACGTTGGGGCCTGATTCTCGTGTGGTCACCATCCTTCCAGATGGAATTCGTAACGCTACAACTCATTTCATCGACGACAATTGGATGAAGGAAAAGGGATTCGCAGTATAATCATATCAAATATGCTTTATTGGTGTGTATTATGTTAGAAATAAATTAATCTTTTTTGCTACATGTTAATTTCATCCATAATCATTTAATAAAAAGCGAAAATTAAGTGAAAATTTGCAAAAGAGAAGTTCTAAAAACATTTCAACTCAACTCAAAATTTAAAAGTTCGGAAAAACAAGCAATCGTCAAATAGACATGAGAAACGGGCCGGGCCGGCCTTGAGCAAAATTTAGATCGGGCCGGGCCTGGAAAAAAAATTTCTAAATTTTTGAAAATTTTTTATTTCAATCCCCGTTTATGTTTTTAGATTTTATTGGGTTCTATGATCCATAAATGATCTAAAAAAACAATTTAAAGCCAATTTTCCGTTTAGTTTTTAAGTTTCAAAATTTTTAAAATTTTTTAAAACGGGCCGGGCCTGACCAAAATAAAAAACGGGCCGGGCCCAAAAAGTTAGACCCGGCCCGCGGGCCGGGCTTGAAAATTGGGCCCGGCCCGGCCCGTTTCTCATGTCTATCGTCAAAACGTTATTATTTTTTTCCAATAAGTCAATAGTGACATTTCGTTTCACCCAAAATATATATTTTTTTCTCGTTATTTTCTGAATTTGACCCTGTATCTCGATCTTCATCAGAATGCAGGCTGACGATATCACTTGGCAAGTAATTAATAATGGACATTGTTCTTTTAAGACGAAGTAAGTTGCACTTTACTTTGATTGGTAAATTTTTAGTGGAGAAGGCTAAGATTTTTGAGTTTGTTTTATTATTACTGTTTTAGAACAAAAACTCAGAACTTCTGTCGAAACGAGTACAATTTAACTGGTTTATGCACACGAAAAGCTTGTCCTTTGGCCAACAGTCAATATGCGACAGTCAGAGAAGAGAACGGCAAGTTTTATAAGTTGTTTGGCTTGTTTTTAGGGCATGTTGAAAGTTTCTTTGGTTGTGATTGTGTTATTCCAGGATTTTACTAAATTCTAAGTTTTCTTATCTTTTAGGTATTTGCTTTTTGTATATGAAAGTTGCTGAAAGATCACATTTTCCTACTCGGCAGTGGGAAAAAGTAAAGTTACGAGCGAATATGGCACAAGCAGTTGAACAAATTCATGAGAATCTTTTACATTGGGACGAGTTTGTGAGACAGAAATGTAAAGCGAGGTTGGTGAGGATCCATCAATATCTTTTGAGAGCTAGAAAGATGAAATTAAAGGGACGGTAAGTGCTCTTAATGTGTATTAATATTAAAATTTAGGGTTTTTTAAAATTTTTTGTCTTGTTTTAGAGAGAAAAAACTGATTCCAATTGGTCGCAAGGCTGAACGTCGTGAAGTGCGTAAGGAAGAAAAGGCTTTGATTGCTGCCAAACTTGACACAGCCATTGAGAAGGAGTTGTTGGGCCGTTTGAAACAAGGAACGTACGGAGACATCTACAACTTTAATCAACAAGCATTTGAGAATGTTTTGGAAGAAGAGGAGGAAGAAGTTGAAGAAGAGATTGAATTTGAAAACGAGAGAAACGAACTAGAAAGACAATTTGTGGAAGACTTTGAGGAATCTGATGAGGAAAATAGCGATATTGAGGATGCTGAGAGAGGTTTCGATGCGAGTGGAGATGAAGAAATGGAATTTAGTGGTTCTGGAGACTCACAAGCTACAGATTCTGACGCAGATGGAAGTGAAGCGGATCAAGACGATACGTTGGACATAGCTGACACTGATGAAGAAGGTGAAGAGCCGGCTGCCAAAAAGGCAAAGAAATCAGCATCAGGAAAGGTAAGTAGTTTTGTTTATTCTAGTTTTTGTTTTGAGTGTAAATTTTATAAATCCTATATTTTCTCAACAAAGCTTAAATACTTATTTTAGAAAAGCGTCAGTTTCTCTAAAAACCTGCCATCTAACAAGAAGAAAGTCCAAAAGAAACGTCTTCGGCCAAGAATCGAAATCGAATATGAGACAGAAGCTCCAGCTCGCCAACGACAGCGTAATTGAGGTTGTTAGTTGTTATATTGTTAAGTTTGCAATTCTAATTGTTTTGATATATAAATTTACTTCAAGTTTGTAGTTTTACTGTAGTAGGAAAAAGCAAAATTAAGTTTTAAAACAAGTTTGCTTCCTACTAATACAGTTTTAGCTAATATTGAAACTTTAAACTTGTACAATAATTATTATGGTAGCATATGGGTATACCTTACGTAATTCCGGAAAAGCATGAAAACATTAATAAGCTTAGCTAATTGTGTCTATAACAAGCAAAACTTTGGGGTCGCTATTAGTGACGTCACAACTGAGTATTACAGGATTTGTAGAAAGTTTGATAATCTTCTGACTAATGGTTACTAATTTGATGGTAATTTAGAGTAATATTAAACTATTAATAGTTTTGAAAACATACCGTAATTTGTTTCTTGACCTTAAAACTAATTAATTGTATATTAAGCACAAAATTCATTAAAGATATTATTATAAAGTAAGTTATTAAATTTGTATATTAACCTAGTAATATCCGTTACAAATGGCAAAAAACCGTGTTTTGGCGCAACAAAAGGAGCTTACTCTTAATTTGGGGGTTCAAAAGTAAGATCAATGACGTTACCGACCTACTGTCAAGTGCTGGGTTTGAGTGGAAGGAAGTGTGTTCTGTTATGTTATACGGGTTCTATGAAATATGTTTTTATGGTTACTTTTAGTTTTTTTATTTTAATCGTTGTATATTTATAACATACTTTAGTAGTCAAGTTAAAACTTTTTAAATGTTAGAATAACATTATGTTCATGTTGAGACATTCATATGAGTCTGTATCTTCTTTAACATTTATACGATTCTGTATCGTATCAATAGCGTAATAAACATACAGTGGTCGATCATATTACCACTGTAACTCTAAGCGATAATCTTTGGTGAACTTTTGTTTAATACGCGCTTAAATAATCTAATTAACAAGGGTCATAACATAGCGGTTAATCTCTTAAGACCGTAATTAGATGGCTATCGAACTTGTTTCTCCAAGCTATCAACAATTAAGGTTGCTGGGTACTGTAACCGATCTTGTTATCTTATAGGTATAGATTTTTCCATTTTAAATAATCTTTCTTTTGGCTTGAAAAGGGAGATATGCTGAGGTTTACTACATTTTAAACATAGCTTTATATTAACATTGATACTTGGTAGTTAAAAAGTTTTTATATATAAGTTTGTTTAAATTTAAGTTAAATAACAATTTTTAAATTTTAATCATTTTTTTAATTTCATTTTTGGCTTTTCTTAACTTTAAAATAAATCCCCGAAGGCGAATTTGCGTGTTCCTGTAAATAAAGCCGGAACGGAAGCCGAGAATCGACCGTTTTCTGGTCGACTTGCACCGCTGCACCTGCTCGATGCCTTCCTTTGTTATGCTGTGAATAATAAAATAAAGATGGCTGCGATTCTTGTTATTACAAATCGGCTTATAATTCATTTTTGGAATTTTATAATTCTCGGTTTTTGGGGTTTGGCAGAAGTTTTTTACACAAAATGGCTAGTTTTATATTGTCATTGGAATCTTTATGGATTTGTATTTGCATAAACAGCTACGTACAGTAAGAACAAATATCTTCCAGCAACGATTATTATTTCTCTCTTCCTGGAATGTATTGGGCTTGTTTTGGGCAACTTTTTTGATTATTTAGGTCTGGGTTTACAAGCTTTACCAGATACTGATATGTACAGTTTTTACTTTTTTGATTTCTAAAGCGTTATATTGTAACCAAAATTGACTTTGTTGTTCAAAGTACTTTACTGAAACTTATCAGGTTTTATATGTTACGGTTCTAACTAATTTTCACCATTTTAACAACAGCTTTATGTCATTATAGTAGCTCTTGTAGATAAGAATCAATGTCATAATAGAAACCCATTAAAAGGACATAAAACTTAATCCCCAAAAGCTCGTAAATAGTTTTCTTAACCGAGGTTTGGCGCGTGCTTGGATTGCATAATTTCAGGCCACTTTGCTGGTTATACAGTAAGAAAAGAGGGTGGGGAAGGGAGAGGGTACAGTAATGAATGTAATGTTGCATTCGAACAGACGGTGCGGGGCTAGCGATTCTTAAACGATCCATTTTTGGGGATTCGTTTACCGATTTCCGAAATTGTTCAGCACAATATTGACTCGGGAATGTCATATACTCTTGAGAATGAGGTATGGTTGTCGCCAGACGGCTAGGACAAACTGTAGGCTAGGTATTGTGTTTTACAGTTTTTAATGTCAATTTTTGCATTTGTTTTTTTTTGAATATTTCAATTTTTGATTTACTTTTTTAAAATTTGAATTTGATTATTTTAATTCCGTTTTTGTTTTCTTCTTTATTTTAAAAAATCTATTTCAATAAAAGATATTACCTATGTGTCCGAATGCCCAAAATTCTGTTATTATAGTGGTTCCTGGAGCCTCTTGACCTTTTCGGTCTGTAAGTCCTTGTTTTCATGAGTAATTGATTGCGCACTAGCTCGGAAAATGATTTCTGGAATGATTCAGAGGCTCACTTTCTTCAAGAATCTCTTCTGTGTTGGCAAATTCTGTAACTCAATTTATTTTTTTTTATTTATTTTTGTTTTTTTTAACATTGGCTTGAATCAAAAATGTGTAAAATGTTTAAAAAATGTAAAATATATAATTATTTGTGAGGTAAATGTACTCTTCATTATATATCTGGTTTTTCGAATTTCGAATTTTGAAATTTGAATCACTTTACTCTTATTATAAATTAATGACCAATTACTGTTGTTAATGTCCTTCTATAATATGTGGTCGATATTATCTTTTTGTTACCACATCTATCTTATTTCGACCACCATAATTTGTTTCGTATTTTAGAAACAAAGTAATGTCATTTTATAAACGCCATTATGTTTAACTCTTCATTTATGGAAATTTTATGGGATTTGGAAGGGGTTGTGGCCTTAAATGGGTGAGAACCATCTCTTAGATATTATACTAGACTCGGGCAACATTGTTTCAAAAGGAGCTATAGGTACATTGTTCTGGTTAATTTTTGGTCAAAAGTTTAAAAAAACTTTTTTATGGTTATTTACGGTAATATCTTATTGTTTTAGTGTAGCGAGTCCCAGTCAACTTATTTATAGAAGTTCTACAGTATATTTTTTACAATTTATATGTTAAGCTTACTGTAAGATCTAACTGTAAAAGTTCCGCCTTTTTTGACTTACGTCAAATCCACGTAGCTCCTTAATCCTTATGAGAAACAATTACCATGGTATGTTATTCTATATACAATGGTATGATCGCGTAATCGCGTTTATTAGCCTTTATCGACCACGAAATCAGTAAGGAAATGGTCGAAGACTTGAGAAAAAGATGGATGAGGTGTGGTATCATGACAACTCGTAGTCATGGGTTGGGATCTTACTTTACATTTTGAAGTTTGTAGGTTTCTATGGGTTGATAATAGTCTTGGGTACTGGTTATTGTTACTTATTTTAATGTTTTTAACACTTTTTTTAGTTTACATTGATCTGATTGCACTAAGTGTCATTGTTTTATCACTTCATAGTTACTTTTTGGTCGTTTGAAGTTACTCTAGTAATATACTGGAGTAGGAGTATGTATATATATTACGGTTAAATTACCCTAAATGAGCCGTCGTCTTAAGATGGGTTGACCTCACATCGGCGCCACAATCGGTTTGAATTCTTGGAAATTCAAGGATATTAAAGTTGTTTTTTGGGCGCGACAGAACTCATGCAGCTTTTATTTACTGCGAATTCAAATTTTTTGCTCTGAAGATGATATACTCGCTGTAACTGTAGTTTAGTTGTTCTTTTTACCTTATTTTAGAGTTAAAAATGATTTTTAATCTTTCATAATATGTTTTTCTGATAGCTGATACTTTTTATCATCTAAAGCTTGACATAAAATATACTTAAATACCTTCAAACTCATGTGATGATACGGTGTAATGCGTGTTGAATATGTTCGTATGTCCTCAGTCTCGGATTACGGCGCGTTGTCCTGGTTAAATTGCCACACCTGTTGTTTGACTCTCGAAAATCGACCGAAACTTGGCTCTCGAGTTGTCGAAAAACGGTCGAAACGGTTGGTCCACACCAGACTCCACAAACAATTAATACAATATAATATTAACCATGACGTTTAATATGTCTGGTTGACTTTATCTGGAGCAAAGTGGGACACCTGCATGCACTCTCGACAAAGATAAAACGGCACTTCAATTGTGCAATATTCCTCATTTCCGGCTCAGTCTCGGGATGGAATGCTGGGTCGGGCAGCGGCTGGACTAATATTGTTCGTTGGGGACATGATCTTTGTAAATATTTAAATACTTTACCATACTTTTGTATAAACAAGTAGTTTTAACCTAGAGAAATATACATAATTTTAAAAATTTTTATGATTACAGTATCTTTTAAATTGTTTCATTAAACTTTTTTTTAACAATAAGATGGTTAATATTTTAATTTTGTTCTCTAATAAAATGTCTGAAGTTAACACGTAGTTAAGGGCATGAAGGCATATATCAGTTGACTGACATTACATTAGGTGGATGGAATACCCGTGTGTTACCGCGCAAACATATCACGATCGAATAAATTACTTTGGGACGTGTCGCTTTCGTTACCTGTTTGTATATTATTTGCCTTATAGTATATAGTAAACTTACTATAAATTTATATGTAAAGTTTTACTATACTAATTTAACTAAATAGTACTTTACTTTTTTATTTTAAGTGTCTATACTTTAACTACTTTTTTTCATTTTTCCACAAAATCTGTCTATCCATGCTTAACATTCCATCGACGGATGACATACGAGATGACATCACCGTTTACTCTGTGGGAGAACACCTCTGGTCATGTAGCGACCACTGTTGGTTCCTCTCTGGATCTTATATTGTTTTATGTGTTTTTTGGATGCGCGTGAGGAACTGCCTTTCTTTCAGGAACAGATTTGCATACCTGCTTTTATTTTTA